TTGATGTTGATTTCTTTGTCGAACTTGGTAAAAATAAATCTTAAAAACAAGGTCTACTTCAAATAAATTTTTTTTTTTGAAAAAACATTTGTTAGTTATACAGGGTGTCCTTTTTAGATGTCCCGGCTGAATTTTCTTGAACCAATGTCTCTTTTAAAAAAAATGTTTAAAATTGTTGATACTAGTTTCAAAAGTTTACCTTTTTTTGGAAAAAACTTTTAAGGGTACCTCAGATCCAGTTCAGCTTCAAAACTTCAAATAGACCCTATGCATCCTGACACATCATTTGAAAAGAATTTTTACGCTTAAAACAATGGTGCAATTGGATTTTAAATTGGTCAAAAAATGACAATGTTATGGCAAAAGGTTTGAAAAAATCCAACAGAGACAACCTAGCTCAGAATTCAATTAATTAATGTTTTTAGTTGAGATAAATAGTCAGTGTCACGATAGCTCAGGTGGTACAGTAGCGGCGTATCAAACCGAAGATCGTGGGTTCGAATCCCCCTCGTGACACTGACTTTTTATCTCAATTAAAAACCTTAATTAATTGAATGATATTAATTGGTCAAGCGGACCACGAAAACTAGTGAAATTAACTAGTTCAGAATATTAATAGGTGTTTTTGTTACTTTAGAAAACTTGTTACCTTCCTTTTATAAATTTTTAAGTTTACAGTTTGTGATTATGTTCGTAAAAGACAAGGGATGATTAATACTTTTCCCTAAATTCTTATTGTTGCTACTATTATTTCTATTTTGTATACTTTGTATTATATGATTTTGTTCAACTTAGAAACTAGCATCGGCTATTAATCAGAAAACCTTTTTGTTGAAATGCAGACAACACAAGGCCCTGAAGATGATCTCAATAAAGATCGAAACGTTGGCACGATAAAGAAAATGTTTTTCTGAAACCTACATCACACCAGACCGCATCTCACGATTTCCGAATAATCATCGACTAACGGTCACAAATCATCACACATTCCATAAACTTTAATTTGTAAATTAGCATCGAAAAAATGTTAATTGTGCGACCAGTAATTTTTTAGGCATCGCGTTTAAAACATAAAATGCAGTTTGAATAAATCACCATAACTAATCGCCAAGTCCGATCAAATAAATAAAAGAAAATGTATTTACAGTTTAGTTCAGTCATGGCCATTTGTCTTTTCGTTGCATTCCTTAGTATTAGATTGATTTTCCGACAACAGTTGATTCTCTTGAAGAAAATGTATATTATTTTAAGTATACGTAAAGTTATACATACCTAACCAAATTGTGCCAAGAGGTACAATGCTGGGCGTGGTATTCGAACCGGTACATTTACCTTACAATGATGAGCGTCGTGTCAACACCTAACCCTTTGCGCCCCGACGCCCCTTCTTGATTATTTTATAATAATTTGGTACGGGAAGGGATTCAGGCATCTGAAGAGATGTTACAGGGCGACGTTTTAAGTCTCTTTCTATTTTTTCTATTATTGTCCGATTGGTTTACCATTATATAGGGGCAAAGATTTACATTTATTAATACGCTGACGACCTTTTATTACATTCCTGGGATGAAAATCGAGGAAAGTTAAATTTAATTAATAAGTACTTTGCAAATAACTTTTTAATTGTTAATACCAACAAAACATTGGCTGCGGTATTCACTTGATCTGGGGCGCTGTTGGAAAAAGTTTTAAGTACGGAAGTGATTCTATATCATTTGTAAAAAAGTTTAATTTCCTATGACCCTATCATCAGGTAAATTCTTACAAGCCAGTAAATATTTGTTGGGGAAAAGTGTAATACTTCAACTTGGATAAAATTTGTACTTTACGTACCTCTCAGGCTCCTAATGACACCTCATACACTTTTTAATTAACTGCTTGGCATGACTTATTTCAAATCAAAATATTTCTTGCATTCAAACTTAGAAAACGTAATATTATTACTTGACAAATTCTGCTTGAAAAACAAAATAAATAACTTTTTTGTGAAATGAATAGAAAGTTTCAGATTAGTCTCCTCACACCTTAAACCTTATTTGATTTATTATTATATTTTTTCTTTTGCTGCTTGATTATATAGATATTCACATTTAATATAATTCAATTAATTAAGGTTTTCAGTTGAGATAAAAAGTCAGTGTCACGAGCGGGATTCGAACCCACGTCCTTCGGCTTGATACGCCGATACTCTACCATCTGAGTTTTTTTATCTCAACTAAAAACCTTAATTAATTGAATGATATTAATTGGTCAAGCGGACCACGAAAACTAGTGAATTTAATATAATCTTAATGTAATGTTATTGTTATTTGTATGTCTTATTTTATGTTTGCTTTATTTATGTACATATTATGTTATATTAAACCAACCTCTTCTATATGCATTAATTGGCTATAACAGAGTAATTATAAATACGAAAATCAATAAAATAATTATAGCTAAAGTTAGAAAAATAATTTAATGCATTTGTGCTTTGTATGTATCTTGTGCGATCGAACAATTATAAATTGTAAGTATTGTTACTTATATTTATTTTATTCATTTTCGTGCAGTGTCTGCCCCCCCCCCCACGCAGTAAAATATGCAAACTTCATCATCGCCTTTCACGTGCGTGCAGTAGTTTCGGACGTTTCAATTTCCAGAGAAATGTGATTGTTTCTCTCCATTAAGCATAAAAATTATTAAAAAAGAAGAAAAGAAACGTCTGTGAGAAGAAGGAGAAAGTGAAAGAATGAGAGGATTCTCACGCGTTTGCCTTTTTGGCCGACGCTTGTGATGAAGCCCGACCATAGCCGTTTTGCGAGCAATTGTTGCGTTAATTGTACAACTGACGCATTTTTATGAAAATAATTGTCCGAATGGATTTTTTCCGCATGTTTTCACTGCGCTCAGAATTTACGATCGTTATAGAATATATACGTTATGTTTACAAAAATAAAGGATAACACAGAAGAAGACATACACATTCACACCTAGGTTGTTTAACTTAAAACAGAGAACACATGGCTCGAATTATGTTTGCTTACTCAACCACAGACTGATTTAACGTTGGCCCAACGGACTTATGCGGGGTGTTCGACTACTCGCGTTACAAACTTTACCAGTAGATTCTACATTCAAAATGGAACCAAAAAGTCCTACTTAACTATGGTCCGAAACATTTTCGGAGTTATTCCCCTTGTTCTGATTTTTTAAAATTTCACGACTTTACTTCAAACAAACCATGATAACTCTAAAATTATTTTTTTTTTTTTGATAAATCCGTATATACCATTGAAAACTACGTTAAATTTCCAATAAGATGATGTGATCAATACTAAAGTTGTAAAATTTCACAACACTTTCACAAAACCAATATGACACAACAAGAATAGCACCACACTTTATGCGAATATGAAATATTTGGTTCAAAATTTATATTTACATCTTAAATAGTATTTTTTCCAATCAACATGTGTTTTGTAATTTACCCAGTCCCTGAAGATGACCCGAATAAAGGTCGAAACGGGTCAAAAAAATGAAAAGATGTTTTTCTAAACTACCTCATTATTGACCACTCATCACGACTCATAACTTTTTCATATTATAAAAACCAACTTTTTAAAACTGTTGCTGGACTTGAATGTAAGTTAGGGACAAAATCGACCAAAATATATTCACCTTTTTGCTTCTCTGTGCTTCTTCAATCCGTATATACCATTGAAATCTACGTTAAATTTCCAATAAGATGTGATCAATACTAAAGTTTTAAACTTTGGTGAAATAAGCGTTTTAATAGTGAGAACTTTAAAAAATAATTTTTTGTTCATTGTTGAAAAATTCGTATGGTGATTCTAAACTACTATTTCCAAAACTAGAGACTAGCAAGTTTCAGAAAACGTACACCATTTAAATATCCTTTTTAGTGGTGTAATTGCTCTTTTAATTTCTTTTTTCAAAGCTAAAGAAATTGATAAAGGAAAGGTAAAAACCGTGGTTGACGGATTGGTAAGGTTGAAAATTAAAAAAAAAATAGGTAAAAACTTAAGGAAATTTTGATTGTATGAACTAAAAACGTTTTGAATCTTAAAACTCTTTTTTTCCGGGGAATAATAATACAATAATCCTTTAATCCAAGATGCAGTCTTGCTGATAAATATGTAAACAATTGCACTATTTGGGTTTCGAACCCAAATTAAAAAACGCATAATAAATTCATTCAAAATTTCCTTAAGTTTTACCTTCTTTTTTTTATTTTTTTTTTTATTTTCCACCTTACCAATCTGTCAACCACGGTTTTTACCTTTCCTTCATCAATTTCTTTATCTTTGAAAAAAGAAATTAAAAAAGCAATTACACCACTAAAAAGGATATTAAATGGAGTACGTTTTCTGAAACTTGCTGGTCTCTAGGTTTGGAAATAGTAGTTTTGAATCACCATAGGAAGTTTTTCAACAATGAACAAAAAATTATTTTTCAAAGTTCTGTCTACTAAAACGCTTATTTCACCTAATTTTACAACTTTAGCATTGATCATATCTTATTGGAAATTTAACGAAGTTTTCAATGGTATATATGGATTTGTAAAAAAAAAAAATTAGTTTTGGAGTTATCATTTTTTATGTGAATATGGAGAATATTGAAGGAGTCATGACATCTTAAAAAATTAGAAAAAGGGGAATAACTACGAAACTGTTTCAGACCATAGTTAATTAGGACTTTTTGGTTCCATTTTGAATGTAGAATCTACTGCAAAGTTTGTAACGATCGCTTTTATTTCGGTAGAGTTTCGAGTGAATTCTTGTACCTGTTCCCAAATGCTGCAATTAATGATAGCACTTAACATGCCAGTTTTAATATCATGGGAAAGGAAGTTATAAAGTAGAATATAAGAGGATAAAACTGATTCTTTTTCTCAACTCGGATAATTTTCGGTATAAAATTATATGGCTTCTTTTAGGCCTTGTTTAAAACGGAAAAAGGCTTCAACTAATGTTGTTTGTTCTCTTTTTCTGTTTCAGATACAGCCCTTGTAAAGCTTTTAAGTCGGTTATGAATGAAGTCAACGACTTAGCAGGCCAACATGAAGTCATAGCGGAAAACCTTCAATTGGATGTCGTAAAAGAAATATCAATACTTTGGAAAGATTTGAAAGATGAGAGGAAAAAGGTAATTATAATTTTTTATTTATTAGTTGGTACTTTGTATATATTTATAAATTTCTTATACCTTTCACGTTATTCTTTTTAAACAATAAACAAAAATTTTGTTTCATTTCTTTAGTTTAGTAAAATTCCTTAATAGATACATCCCCATATTTGTGCTATGTTTAAACTAAAACATTTGCACATAATCAGTATGCTAAATAAATATTTTTAAAGCTAAAAAAGTTTATTGTATAGTCAGTTTATTCAAATATTTCCTATATTTCAGAATTTCAGTAATAGGGTGATGTAAAATAGATTACTTCATATGTGACCACCTTCTATTAACGAACAAGTGGTGCTAAAAAGAAAAAAAACTAAGAGGACGGACTCGGGTTAGAATAATAGCAGTACTTGTTCTTTTGTTAGGAAAGTGTTTTTCCTTGGCAAAGTTGGGACTGGGTCTATCTTCAAAGAAATTGGAAATTGACTATTAAAAACTTAATTATGTCAATTTGTGGACATGTTTGTTTTGCCCTGATGGTGACCTTCATAAAGGTCAAAAGCTTGGCACTAACAATTGAATTTGCTTTTTCATTAAGACCATACTATGATCCTGATCATTCTTTGTGTGTGTTTCTTAGTGGCCTTTTGTTTCATAATTTGTTGAAGTCGTGAGGAGTGGTCAAGAATGAGGTAGTTTATAAAAACACTTTTATCATTTTTTTTCCATCCTCACTTACAATTCATACATAAAGACAAAATAGAAAACAAAATACCGTTCCTAGATGCACTCATAATACGACAAACAGATGGCACACTAATTAAAGATTGGTACCAAAAACCAATGAATTCTGATCACTACCTCAATTATACATCACATCTCCCCTACACACAATATTAAACACGGCAAAAGGATTATTACACAGAATCATATCTCTAAGTCATGAAGTCATGAATCCTTTCGCCTAAAAAATATTCAAACATACAAACAAATCTTACATAATAATAACTACCCTAAAAACATAAACAACACAGCACTACACAAAACAACATCCTCCACGGTACATCATCAACCCAATTATACAAAGACAAACCTATATACAAGTCCAATCCATTTGTCTACAAGTTGTCACACAAAATAAGTAAATTTCTCTCCTCGGAAAAATAGCTTTTAAAAACCATAAAACAGCGCATGCACTTTTTCCAAAGTCAAAGATATGACACCAACAGACTACAAATCCAGCAACATACATTGGAATTACAACGCAATATCTAGAAACCGAAAAGACAATACATAACAACACAACAACAAAACACCAACAACTAATCCCACAGCATTGGCCACACACCACTTTGAAAAACAACACAATTTTGTTTTAAAAAAAAATACAAATACCAAACATGGAAAAAACAAATATAAACACAATTTTCTATAAATGGTTTACGTTAACCGAGACACACAGCATTGATTACAGATAGATACATGCAAACTCAGTCATAGCTTTGCCAACATCATAAAGCAAATAGACTATTAAGCCTTAATTTTATTTTTCCCTTTCCTTCATTATCATCCTTTATAAATAACTTGCTTTCCAATATTGAATGCCTAATCACAAATACAAGCCAGAAAATTCCCATTCTAGACTTGCTTTGAGTTAAATGAAGCCGCTTATGATGAAAGAAATTTTCCCAGATTTATCGCTTCCCCACTTTGTCATAATCGTATAAAAACAGCATAATACAAATTCACGCTTCACCACACTTTATGTGAGTATGAAATAGATGTTTCAAAATTTATGTTTGCATCTTGTATTTTTGTATTTTTTCCAATCAACATATGTTTTGTAATTTACCCAGTCCCTGGAGATGACCCAAATAAAGGTCGAAACGTCGGCAAAAAAATGAAAAAGATGTTTTTCTAAACTACCTCATTCTTGACCGCTCCTCACTACTTCAACAAATTATTTATATTATAAAAGCCAACTTTTTAGCCAGGAAACTGTTGCTGGACTTGAATGTAAGTTAGGGGCAAAATGGACCAAAATATATTCACCTTTTTGCTTCTCAATGCTTCTTTTATACTAAGCATACTTTGATAAGTTACCTTGGCACCTTACAACTTAGTTTATGTAAAAAATACTACTTGTAATTTAGCAGTCAAAATTGGTCTTTCCTTCTGATAGTTGAATGTGGTAGTAGCATTTATCTCTTCCTTTATTTATTTAATTATAATATATATTTTAGTATTTTTGGGTTTCTGTTGCTAGGAAAGTTTTCTGTTATGGAAGCACAGTTTGAAAAGAAGTCTTATGAAGGGATTAAAAAGCATTAGCTTTATTTCCTTCATAGATAGAACCATCACACATGCCAATACTATAATATAAAACCAAATTTTTTCCCAAATAAAGCTACAGTTTGACCTGCAAAAGTTATTACCATCCAGCCCTAGAGTCGCAATACTCATCAGTGAGAGACAATCATCAAAAGGGGGCAGTCATTGAAACACATTTCTCCCCCTTGTACTCATTGTCTGCACAATTTCACTTTGTGTTCTGAATCGCTTAAAGTCCACATTGCTGCTCTGTTTTCCGTGCTTACTCTAGTTTTATTAATGGCCCCTCTTCATAAATATAAAAATTTCAATAAGCTTGGTATAGGTATTTTAAAAATTAATTTTTCTAATGTTAAATTATATTAAGGATTTTGTTATCAGTTAAAACACTCTTTAAAGATCACATTGCCAAGAAAATTTGAGCTCTAATGGTTAGCATCAGGATAGCAGGTAAAATGTTCCTTTAAATCTGCTTCTTGATGTAATTCTTGATGCTGAGGCCAATCTTCACCTATGATGAAGTTTTGTCTAATTTCCTCATGATGTTGACTTTAGTCTTTTTGATTGTATTATTCTGCTTATCCGTACTGTTTTGGCCATTCTGACAAGTTTCAGCTTTTGGAAAATAGGATGACTGGAATATCTGATATTTTTGTCTCCGAGGATAATCAAAACAAGTTCAACTACAAATTAGATCGATTTAGGTTTAAAAAAAAGAATGAAAAAGAAGGAAGACTCCAGAAGTCTCTCTAGGAATGGACAGTCTGTACACTGATGGCCAAATTTAACACCACTCAATTTATTTAGTTTAATAATGAACTTTCTACATTATTTACAGGTAATTAGGAACTATCGTGTCAAAATAAACAAATAATGCTTTGTTTACTTTTGTGTACCAATCAATCGCATTGAACAAAACGTGATGTTATGCCCTTCCGCTCTGCTTTGCCTTAAGATTGTTTTCAGTTAATCTTTTTTCCTTTGTTGATTTCATTTGATATTGTTCTTATCCTTAAATCTTTTTCAATGGCTCCAGTCAGGTATTTGAGTGAGTATGACAGCATCAGGGTCATAACATTATTAGAGAAAGGATCAACCAGTGCAAAGTCACCAGGAGACTGAGTGTAAATTACCCTCCAGCTCCAGGAAAGGTTATTCAGCGATTCAGAGAAACAGGGCTTCACATCAGAAGGCCAGGAAAGGTGCAACCGAGGTCAACAGAAGAGAGAGACAATAGTCATCAGGCTCTATGAAACAGCAAAATTACGGGAAATGAGCTAATAAGTTAAATCCGAAATATTTTGATGTCCTCCAGGACTGTAAGAAGAAGGCTCAATGAAAATAACTTCAGGACCCAGCACCCAGCTCGTGGACCTCTTCTTATATCTCAGAAAATGGCCAGGCATCAATTTGTACAGGAAAATGTGTGTTGGAAGATTGGGAGATTGGGGCCAAGTTCTCTTTACAGATGAGGTGAGGCTTAAACCTTCAGATGGGCATAATTTCATATAAGACGCTCAAGAGAAAGGAACGTGTGCCATGCTGTATGGTTCCCCAGGTGTCATTCCTTGGTGGATCATTGATGTTCTAGGATGGCATTTCCATGGACGTCCACATCGTATTGGTTGTTGTGTGAGGAAGAACTTGTAGTGCCATTTGCCTCCACCCCCACATCGTTGATTCTTGCAAAAGCAGGATAATGCCAGGTCCCATAGAGCATGTGTGAGGAACACTACCTGAATGAAGTTGGAATTGAGTGTTTGGTGTGGCCAGCTCGAAGTTTAGACCTGACACATTTGGTACCAATTTAAGCGATGAGTACAACTGCGAAACACAGGTTCTAACCTGAAGAAGATAGGACCTAGACAAGTTGGAAGCAGCCGTTCTTGATGAATGGGAAAGAATTCCCCTGGATTTTATCAGAATTAATTTCCAAGGAGTGTAAAGGTGTTTAATGGACGTGATTTGTGCCAGAGGTGGAAATAATCAATATTAAAGGGGATAAAAAAGTTTTGTATTATTGTTTAAATTTGTTTTTATTTGTTTCTTAATTTTCTGTTTTTTGTTTTCTTTACTCAATAATTGTTTTTTAAGAATTAAGTAATAAAAATTTTCTTATTTTTACAACTAAACCTATTTTAGGCATGGAAAATATGAATAAACCTAAATACATTAAAGTTTAAGGGTAGTGCGTTTATTTTATCCATCAGTGTACATAATAGAGTGGAAGGAGAGCCTGTTTGTTTCCCAAATCTCTCAGATACCAAGGATCCCATTCAATTGGAAGTTCTGTTGAGATACATTCTGTCATAATAGATTATTCAGAAATAATATGTATTATGCCAAGCAGACGTCACTTCATTGAATTCATACATCAACTCAAATATGGTTCTGAATTGCAAAATCAAACTAAATGCCTTGGAAATACAAAACAGAATTATTATTCACCAGTCACAGGATACACAATAGTTAAGTAGTTGGCACACATTTGTTAGGACTTGATGAACCCTATCCAAGGCACTTTTAGGCCATAAACTAAAAGATAAGCTCTTGGCCTTTGCAGTCTAAGGAGTAAAATATGTTTCAGAATGTATAAAAGAAGCATAGGTTTGAAGACAAGATACTGTTTATCTCAGAAAAATTGGCATTAATCAACAACGGCAATATTTCTCAATATTGGCAACATATTACGAACTGTTGTTCTTATTTTAACTTTTTTTTAGTTTAGCTAGTTGCTATTGTTTATTATGTTCAGTTTATTAAGATTAATTGTTTAGGTAGAAGTTTTTTCTTGAGAGAACAAAAGAAGACATGTTATATTTTGCTTCCAGTTGCTGGCAGAAGGAAATCGTATGGTGGCCAATTTAAATCAGCAAATAACTAGCCTAGAAAGGTCACGGAAAAACTATGAGAAAGCTTCCAAAGAAGCCGAGAAGGCGACTGACAGCTTCAAACGTGCTGACGCTGATTACAACCTGTCCAGGGCCGAGGTCGAAAAACAGAAAATGAACATGACGATCAAATCGCAACAGTTTGAAGATGCGAAAAACGAGTACGCCAATCAGCTGCAAAGGACCAATGAACAACAGGTAATCCTTTTGTATTGTGTTGTTAAAATTAGTTTTTTTTTTTTTTAAATATATATATAACATTTTGTTTCCTTTTCAGAAACAACACTACAAGTACCTAATGCCCGAGATATTCAGGCAGCTTCAGGAACTTGATGAAAAGAGGATTAGGAATATTAGAAACTTTATGATTCAAAGTGTTGAAGTCGAAAGGAAAGTCTTTCCGATAATCAACCAGTGCTTAGATGGTATCATCACTGCTGCCAAAACCATCCATGAAAAAGAGGTATTAGATCAATTATTTTTCACCAAAGTTAATATCTCCTCTTAAAAAATAATTAAAACCATATGTTTAAAAAATCATAATATATCGTGGTATATATTTTTTTTTTGTCAAATTGATAGAATTCAAAAATTTAGCTAACAAGTTGAAACAAATTTTGTTTAATTTACAGCAAATTCTTTTATCCTATCAATGTATAATTATATACAGAAGCAACAACTGCAATGAGTTGCCATTGTTAAATTGAAAATAAAATTATCCAAAAGAAAGCTTAAATATTAAAATGTTGTAATATTTAAAATATATCACACGTATTTTTTAAATTTAATAATAGTCAATTCACTAGTTTAGTCGTCCGCTTGACCAATTAATATATTACAATTAATTAAGGTTTTCAGTTGAGATAAAAGTCAATGGCACGAGCGGGATTCGAACCCACGATCTTTGGCTTGATACGCCGCTGCTCTACCACTTGAGCTATCGTGACCTTGATCCACTCAGACATCAACTTCCCATCTCAACCACACCTTTTGAATTTTCCCTCCTTTTTGCCATTTTTCAATAGTGCCTTTTAATAATAGTGATTTTTTACACTGCTATGCCAATTTTTCAGTGTATAATATTCAAAGAATCCAAGGTCTAATTTAATTTTTTTAAATAATATAGATAAAATATTATCTGCATTAAACATATATTACAAATTCTTGGCCATATTTATTGTAATTGGTCAGTCATAATCATTTAATGAAGGAGAATTTTTTTTTAATGAATTGCTTATTTGTTACTTGATAATAAAAATAATTGATGGAGTCTAATCTTGCCAACTGCTTGGTTGGTTGGAACTTGATAACTGTGCTTTCACTTCATGTGCAAAAGTTCGCACAATTTGAAACAATCTGCCACAGTATGAAAAAAAAAATGTTGAAAAAATTATATAAATTACAATTGTTATCGTTAAATCAACGCTGAACAAAAGTCTAATACTTTACAGCAACCAGCAAATTAGAACATTATGCTCTATGCCGTTTGTAGATATTATGACACTATAAATGGCCGAACGGTTAATTTTTCTTTTAATTACAGGACACCCTTTTGGTGATAGAAAGGTACAAGTCCGGGTTTGAAACACCGGGTGATTTCCCATTCGACGATTTGAGCAAACCCGATGGAAACCAACATACTCCGACGATACACACTTCTTTGCCGATTAAACCCGAGGCGACGACAAGAGGGACGTTGTCAGCGAGCAAGCTGAGAAAGAGGGTCGGCCTCTTTGGGATATTCTCCTCAAACAAGGTATCAGAGTGGTCCGATTGTATTTCAAGAGAAAACGCTTTTGTCAATCTATCATATCGCTTTCAACTGAACAGAATACAGAATTTTTTCCGCATTGTAATAAATCATTTTTTTTCTCTTAAAATAATGTAAATAATTTATATGAAAAGCTTCTGGTGTTGGATTTTAAAACTTACATTTCTTCTGAAAATTCCTGGACTTAATATTTAAAAAAATCTACTGCCTCTCTTTTTAAAACAAATTAATTCAATTTTCACCAGGAATCAAATAAAAAAGAAGAAATAAACTCTATGCATACTTTTAATTAATTAATTTTTCAGGAGTAGTAACCAATTTGAACTTACAAGTAATGTGCATGTTAAAATCAAAGCATTTTCCATTTGATGAATTATTTCCTTAGAGGATTTTTTTTTAAACTTGAAACTTTTCTAGCATGAGTAGATATTTAGAAATTTTAATTACTTTTAAAAAGTAGCTGTAAACTCTTAATTTGTTATAAAAGAAACAAAAAGAAGTAAATTATAAGCTTACTCCTTATTATTTTATTTTGATTTTTTTTGTTTCTGTTTTTCTCTGTTATGTTCCAAATAATCGATGTTGCGATATCAACTGAATTTACATTGGTGGATGGTGTTTGCTACCGATACACATAGTAAGTATCAGGAATTTCATGTAGTCATTATTGTTGTTAAATTTTATTTTCATAGTTTTACTCCTGTCCTAAAGCATCTATGTGCACTAACATAATAACCGCTGTCATGCTCTCTGCTTTCTCATATTTCGCTTTCTTACAAATTTAAAACTGTTCCTGCTGTTGTTTTATAAATGTATTTGCAGTCATCAATTTTCTATTATCAGGCAATTTTAACTGACAAGTCGTTCACAGGGTCTGCGATTTATTTACATGTAAACCGAATATCATATATTGTTTCTCTTTTGTATGTACTAACAAAATTTCATTAGTAACAGCGATTTAAAAATTTTTAACATTAACATTCTAAATGACAAACAGCCTAATTTATTACTGTTTTATTTTTATTTCAATTATATATAGCATTATTCAATCAAATGAAACTTTTTTTCAACCAAATGAAACTTTTTTTCAATCAAATGAAACTTTTTTCAATCAAATGAAACCTTTTTCAGCCAAATGAAACCTTTTTTCAAGCAAATGAAACCTTTTTCAATCAAATGAAACCTTTTTCCAAGCAAATGAAACCTTTTTTCAAGCAAATGAAACCTTTTTTCAAGCAAATGAATTTTTTTCAAGCAAATGAAACCTAAAACCTAATGATAATAATTATGTAAAGGAATAAATAAATGACATTATAGTACTAATAATAATTTTTATGATCTTAACAACAAAAAACAATGGGTATCTAGAAATATTTATTGATAAGTTGCTAGTTAAAAGATTTAAAAAATTAACTTTAAAAGAATTAACAATAGGACTCAGCCACCCCACCATAAATGAATTATTAGGTGTCCGTTGTTTGCCATACATTGGTGAATTATCGGAAAAAATTAGTAAAATTATTAAACAAGAAGGTTTTAGAATAGCTTATAGAAGAACGGGGTCAGTTAAAAACATCCTCCCAAAACCTAAAGACAAGGTAGACAACTTGGCAAAAAGTGGGGTTTACCAACTCAATTGTAATGATTGTAATATTAAATATATAGTTCAAAGTGGTAGAGAAATAAAAATGAGAGTCAATCATCATAAACCAATACCAATGTGAAAATGGATTTTCACAAGAAACGTTCTTGTACCTAAGCCTTACGATTCAATTATTGTAATATTAATATTCAATTATCATAAAAATTATTGTTAGTACTATAATGTCATTTATTTATTCCTCTAAATAATTATTATCATTAGGTTTTAGGTTTCATTTGCTTGAAAAAATTTCATTTAATTGAAAAAAGTTTTCATGTGATTGAAAAAAGGTTTCATTTGCTTGAAAAATAGTTTCATTTGACTGAAAAAAGGTTTCATTTGATTGAAAAAAAAGTTTCATTTAATTGAAAAAAGGTTTCATTTGATTGAAAAATGCTATAATATCAGTACTTGAAAATCGCCCAATCTTATATTAAACCTGTCTGTTCTTTGTCAATTATTTTGTAATGTGGAATATTGTCCAAGGTTAACTCAGTGGATGTTAAGTTATAAAACTCAAGTTTACGCTTTGTATTTTAACATAACTCTATTTAAAGGAAACACAGCTCGGTAAATTTCATGCTTTTATTATTAAACGTATTAATTTACAAGCTTTTGAGATTACAACGGAATTTTTCTGCTTATACACTCCATTAGCTTACTGATCTTAATAAACAAAATCATGCAGTTCTAATTAGAAACCTTTCTGTTCACACATTTACATACCGCCAATTACGTCATGCAAGCCAACTCTTCCCAATCAGCAACTGTAAACTCCTGGTCTCATCCCTTGCGCTTCCCCACTTCCATGATGATTCACCAGACTCAAGAGAATCATGAATTTCATCAAGTTCATATTTAGCTCCTCAGAGCATGTATCTCATAAGTATGAAATGGCTATCGCAAGCTATACTTTCTTAGTTCCTTCCTTTATCAAACAATTCTTCCCATTTATTTCCTATAAAATACATCATCTGTTAAAATTCAAGTCTTCTATACACACTTGCCACATTCGTTCTTTAATTTACCTCATTCTATTCACCATGCCTCACCTCCTTTCTACCTTTAGTCCTGTCTCTTTGATTACCTCTTTGTCCCTATTGAGGATGGTTAATATTCTGTTAATTCTTTCCCCTTCTTATTTAATTTTTAATAAATGAGAATAATAATAAATAATAATTAAATTCACTAATTTTGTGGTCCGCTTGACCAATTAATATATTACAATTAATTAAGGTTTCTAGTTGAGATAAAAGAGAGAAAATTCAAAAAGGTGGGATTGAGATGGGAAATTAGTGTCCGGGAGGATCGAGGTCACGATAGCTCAAGTGGTAGAGCAGCAGCATATCTAGCCAAAGATCGTGGGTTCGAATCCCACTCGTGCCATTGGCTTTTTTATCTCAACTAAAAACCTTAATTAATTGTAATAAATAATAATATTGAGTAAATAAGAAAATTTAATTTTGACACAAATTGGGCCAAATTTTGTATTTTTTAATTATTCAGAAATCGTGAGATGCGGTCTGGTGTGATGTAGGTTTCAGAGAAAATTTTCTTTATCGTTCCAATGTTTTGATCTTTATTGAGATCATCTTCAGGGCTCAATAAAGATCAAAATGTTGGCACGATAAAGAAAATGTTTTTCTGAAACCTACATCACACCAGACCGCATCTCACGATTTCTTAATAATTATCGACTAATGGTCTCTAATCACCACACATTTCTATTTTTTATTCATGGGTGCCCAACGCACAAGAATAAAATATATTTGCTTCTTCTTTACTATAAATTCATACATAATAATGTAATATTGGGAAATATACATTTTAAATTATATATACTCAAGTAAAGTTATAATGAACAGTGATTTGTTTACACTCCATTGTTTACGATACAAGAAACACACCATTGCATTCTTCTGCAGCAGTATTACATCAACAACTCCTGTGCTAATTAGCTGATGGTGTATTATTGTTGCATTTTCTTCTCCTTCCTAACTTTGTCTTACGGCCTTATGATCTTTCATATTAGCCAGGGGAGAAGTCGTTTGATGCTGTGTAAACGTATTTTTATGGAAAATGGGTTTGAGAAAAAACGGCCAGGGGCTACACTAGGAATTGAACCCATGGCCAAGGGATCTACTAACCATTCAGCTACCATTGTAGTGTACTGTACATAATTCACTATTTTTCGTGGTCTACTTGACCAGTTAATATCACTCAATTAATTAAGGTTTTAAGTTGAGATAAAAAAAGTCAGTGTCACAAGCGGTTTCGAACCCACAACCTTCAGATACGCCGCTACTCTACCACTTGAGCTATTCATGACTTTGATCCTCTCGGATACTTAACTTCCCACTAAATATCCCCAGCACTAAGTGGTAGAGTAGCAGAGTATCAAGCCGAAGGTCATGGGTTCGAATCCCGCTTGTGACACTGACTTTTTTTATCTCAACTTAAAACCTTAATAAATTGAATGATATTAATTGGAAAAAAAAAAAAAAAAGCGGACCATGAAAAATAGTGAATTTAATGAATTAAAAAGAAGTATACTTCACTAACGCTCTCCATGGCCATTTCATTTGTCGCCGAGAATCAAATAGATTACACAACATTTGAAAAATGGCAAAAAGGAGGGAAAATTCAAAAGGTGGGGTTGAGATGGGAAGTTAGTGCCCGAGTGGATCGAAGTCATGATAGCTCAAGTGGTCGAGTAGCAGCGTATCAAGCCAAAGGTCGTGGGTTCAAATCCTGCTCGTGACACTGACTTTTTTATCCCAACTTAAAACCTTAATTAATTAACTGTACATAATGTTAATATCAACATATTTATAGTTAATGGCTGTTTAATAAAATTAATAATTGCCTCATATAAATATAATTCAGTTTTCAGACAGTTCTTTTTAAAATATCGATGTTATAATGCATTTTTATGGTAAAAAGTGAAAGCCAGTATCAATAATTGATGAGATATTGGTAGCTGCAAAGGTATAAGTGCTCATCACTGTAAGTTAAAGGTGCCTTCAGAGTTCAAAGTTGGACCATACACAAACAGATAAACTTGAGATTTTCGTATCATCATTTATTTTCACAATTATTACAGTGATTCGTCTGATGTAATAAATCAGGATTTTTTCAAGAAATTCAGAAAAAGCTGATTGAACAAAGTAAATGATAAAGTTTTATGGTTTATTAAAAACATCTAATATTGGGCTGATCTTTCAGGTGTTTCTTTTGCTCGTTGATTTTTTAGCTATAAATGCCATGTGGTTTTTTGAAATTAATTTCTTGTTAACTTGCTTTCATAAATAAAAATTGGATTTAAAACATGGCTTTTTACACGTTTTTGTGTACATTTTTGCATGACATCACACTCAGTGAAAATTGCCTAAACTGGAGCTTATAGAAAGCTTTATATACAAGCATTTTTTTTTTAATTTTTAATATTCTGCCATGGAGGCAAAAGTCTTCTAGCACAAAGCAACCCACTGTGTTAGTCATTGCATAACAGAATTTAGGACTGCAGATAGTATTTAATTTTTGCGGCATGATTCAACTGTTTCTCTTTTTCTTTTTCGCTTTGTCTGTACTGTGAGAATAGTAACATGCTTGGGTTTGTTCATGCCTCCACAGAAGCTATTCGATATGTGCCATTCTCTCAAGGTAGGCACATGCTATATATCTATTCAGTAAATAGTTTAAAGAAATTTTAATATTTATTTATATATGTGGATTTTTTTTAATGTGCAAATGATTAAAAATTATATAATAAATAGTATGATACAAGATATCAAATATATTGTAAGCGCAATTGTAGTAGTTGTGCTGCTTTATTATTGCAATTCATTTAAACTGACAGTTATGGATGAATTATTTTAGTAAAAATGCACTTTCAGTCTGGATTTAGAATTTAGATGTATGCGCGTCGAAAAACAAGCATTTATCCTACAAATGTGTGAATTACTTATAGAACAATCTTTCTGGAAATGGCGATAACAAGGATGACTATAGCGACTTGCCTCCAAACCAGAGGAGAAAGAAGCTGCAATCCAAAATCGACGAAATACAGTCCAAGATACACCAGGAATCTGCTGCCAGGTATTAAAAAAAACCGCCTTTTCAATCGATCGCGTCGTTATAATGAAAAATTCCAGGGACGGGTTGATGAAGATGAAAGGCGTGTATGAACAGAATTCGACATTAGGCGATCCGATGACGATCGAAGGTCAACTGAACGACAGCAGTCACAGGCTCGACAAGCTGAGACAAGACCTCCACAAGTACCAGTCGTACCTCGAGGACAACCAGAACGACACATCCCTTCACAACGGTGTATGCAGGCAACACAGGTGGGTATTACTATTACGACAGTTTGACAAGACGCATTAAAATTCCTATTTGTAATATTTTCAAATATAATTACAGCTGGTTGATCCCTGTTGAAGAAGTCAATAGAAATAGGTAAAAAAATGATATGAATCCCTTTATTTAGGTGAAGGAAGCCAATGGCTAGATAAAATCTATCTTTTCTTCATTTAAATTAACATTTTAAAAACTGTCCAAATTAACCCTTTTTAAAATACTTTTTTAAACTTTTAAAATTCTTCTTCATATATTGACTTAAGCATATATTTAAATAAAATAGTCCATTTTTTCTTCAATTTTTTAAATGATTTTTATCATTGAATGTACTTTTAGTTGGTCACTACCAGTCGAAGAGGCTAGCAGTAGTAGGTAAATTATTTGGTGGAGTACATGCTACCATTTTTGAAATTTTGGATTGTTTTCTTAAGGTTGCATTTAATCATTAATTAATTATTATTTCTTAACAAAATAACTTTAACACTTGCACTATTGTCAGTAAAAACAAGTACTTGGACTGCCATGGTGGGTCTTTTTAGGCCCTATATAGCATTTTTCAGTCAAATGAAACTTTTTCCATCAAATGAAACATTTTTCCAAGCAAATGAAACCTTTTTTCAACCAAATGAAACCTTTTTTCAGTCAAATGAAACCTTTTTCCAAGCAAATGAAACTTTTTTTCAATCAAATGAAACCTTTTTTCAATCAAATGAAACCTTTTTTCAACCAAATGAAACAATTTTTCAAGCAAATGAAACCATTTTTCAAGCAAATGAAACCTTTTTTCAAGCAAATGAAACCTTTTTTCAACCAATGAAACTTTTTGCTATATATTTTTTTTCTTTTCTTTCTTTCTTTTTTTTTGTAATAAAAAAACTACAATAAGATGTTTTTTGTTTTATGTTTATTTATTTAGTGTGTCTATTATAGCTAACTAATAAATAACAATTTTCATGCGTATGCCCACATTTTATTTATACTTTAGTATGCATTATTTCTGGGCCGACAAACATCAAGTGGTCATCGCTGGCCCTCTGTTTTTTAAACAGTGTTCTTTCTTTCGCCCATCTTTGTCACTGACTCTCTCCCTCATATTTTGTTTCCAGTTTTCGTAGATTGCTAACTTTTTGAAGGTACTTCAGGTTGTCAAATTGCTATTAAGAAAAAAAAACAGATAACACATAAAGATTTTCATCACCTGTGCTATCTTTTTTCGTGCTGGGGGGAAAAATATTGAAAAAACATATACTTGAAAAATAATGACATAATTTAAAAAAAAGAAAAAAAAAAGCTCACTGCCATAATGGTATTTAAAAAAAAAATTGATTGTTTGATCTGGATGTGTCACAAATGTGTGCTTCTTTCAGCATCTCGAACAAAAGAGATATACCAAGTCGTTCCATTTCGGGAGGGGCCCATCAGCCGATGATGCCCAAGGTTCTGTAATTATTAAATTCACTAATTTCGTGGTCCGCTTGACCAATTAATATATTACGATTAATTAAGGTTTTTAGTTGAGATTAAAAAGTCACTGGCACGAGCGGGATTCGAACCCACGATCATCGGCTAGATACGCCGCTGCTCTACCACTTGAGCTATCGTGACCTCGATTCACTCGGACACTAACTTCCCATCTCAACCCCACCTTTTGAATTTGCCCTCCTTTTTGCCATTTTTCAAATGTCGTATAATCGGATTGGATTCTCGGCGACAAATGAAATGGCCACGGAGAGCTTTAGTGAAATATACTTCATTTTAAATCATTAAATTCACTAATTTCGTGTTCCGCTTGACCAATTAATATATTACGATTAATTAAGGTTTTTAGTTGAGATAAAAAAGTCAATGGCATGAGCGGGATCGAGGTCACGATAGTTCAAGTGGTAGAGAAACAGCGTCTAGCCGAAGATCGTGGGTTCGAATCCCGCTCGTGCCATTGACTTTTTTATCTCAACTAAAAACCTTAATTAATTGTTCTCTAATTAAGTGAACACTACAGAAAATGAACATAAATGAAAGGGAAGTGCATCCACGTCACATTTACACTCCAAAGCAAATCTCTTCTTGCTATATACTACAGCAACACTTTCCTATCCCCAAATGCGGCTGAGTTCCCTATCTTGGATTCCATCTAGACTCACGCCTAACATTGAGCAAATGACAAAACTTATAAGCAACAATCCAAGCTATCAACGAAAAACAAACTTAAACGCTACTACAACGATTTGGACATATGGGAGAACCGCTAAATCTTACAAAATCCAATGTATAGTCCTTTAAATATATAGGCCTCAGATCACTCATAAATCCTCTGTATTATGTCTCCAATATCCTCCAAAACGAACATAAATTCCCATTTGTCCAAAATAGAAAATCCCCTAAAAATTTACCAAGTTTCACAATAATCTCTCCCAACACTCCAATAGTCTCATCCAAGCCCGTCTCGACAATCCCATAAGGCGTCTCAGAGGAAATGGGCCCGTGACCTCCTTTCTGAGAAGTAGGCAGGGAGCAGGGAAGTTTATTTAGTGAAGTGAAGCGGAGAATAATATTGATTATTTACTCCCCTCCATGTAAATAAATATATATACATATATATTGTAGCTCATTAAATTACATATTGTAATTTGCAAAATGTAATAAAATATTTTTAAAAAAATTCTGTCTTGAAGACCCACAACGACGGTGCAAGTGTTAAAGAGTTTTGGATAATTTAACAAACCCGAAAGATTTTCTAATTATTGGATGGATATCTAACAGTATAATTATGTAGTCTATACTGATCATTTGTAATAACTCTATTAAACTAGTCTAGAACTAATTTAAAACAAGAAATTTATTTTCATCCTTTTTTTTTTGTGAGATTTGTTTTGGGAATTGACTCAAGAGCCATAAAAATTACCCAGAAATAAAATCAAAATGTTGGAACCTAGGTGATGAAATATATTTTTATAACATCAAGGGGTCGATCAAATTTCTAAACATAATTTCTATGGGCTAGAAACTTCTCTGTATGTTTTTGTGTTTATTTCATTTTTCATATAAAACTATCAACTATATAATTATAACATACTTTATTCATTCATTGAAAAATACTAAAACTTTTGAATTAAACTAATCAACTAGTCATTTCTACTATGTATTTAAGCAAAGAGCTTTTATTTATAGTTGTATTTTTTTGTTTTTTAAGAAATAGTGGTGGATCAGGTGGAGATGATGATTCGTTAAGCAGATCAGCATCAGATTCGAGTGTCTCAGCTAATCACAATCACAACCACATCAACAAACAGTCCGCACCTGGGACACCCCTTCCATCCCATGTGTCAGTATTGTTATCAGCTTGGTCTCGCTTCCAAACTGACAATTGTTTATAAACTGTGAACGTTAAATTGTCAAGATATAAGTTTTTCTAAACGTGCAGGTGCTCGGACAGTCCTGAAAGTGGCATCGGCGCTTCCCATTCATCTCTGCCTGAATCTGACGATCCGCCTCCACCATACTACGAGACCGAACTTCTGCCATCATTGGGAACTTGCAAAGCTCTTTATTCATTTGATGGTATTTATATCATTATAATAATTTAAAAAAAAATCATTTGCAATATTGTTTCTTTTTTTTAAAGCAACAAGTGAAGGATCAATGGCTATGGTGGACGGTGAGGAACTTTTAATTATTGAAGTTGACCAAGGGGATGGGTGGACGAGAGTGCGCCGTCCGGTAGATTTAACAGAAGGTTTTGTCCCTACTTCTTATCTTCAGTGTTTTCTCAATAATTATTGAGAAAGAAAATATTAAAGGTATATATATTTTTTAAATTTAATTTATCAAATAGAAAAACTTAAAATTTTAAACTCTCACATAATTTCAAATAAGTGTTTTATTAAATCAAATTGTTCTACCAATAGAGGAGAAATTTCTTATGTATTTTTTTTATGTTTAAGGTGAGTCCAGCAATTTAGCAGGTGGTGGTTGCTGCTGAAATGTTATTTTCTTGTAACGTCCCATCACCATGATTTTTAATTAGTATCGGATTACAGTTACACTTGACGTGTAGCACATTCTAGCCCAATCGTTATTTAATTAGCAATTGTTTTACCAATAATTAAAAGGAAATATTGTTACACAAATAAATATATATTTAGTCATTTTTTTTTGTATTGAGACATATTGGTAATTGCCGCCCCCAAAATATATTATTAGACTAATTGTTTATCATTGCTTCATTATTATTTTTTAGTTTGCAGGGGTGATATAGAAATTGATAATAAAATGTAATGTAAATTTCTTAGGAAATGGCTGTACATATGTTTAAATAAAATATACTTTTATGAATTTCGATTCACAGATATTTTAATATTTGTAGATTTGTCCTGCGAATTGAACAAATTGAAAATTAATGTAACCATTGTAATAATTCGGGTAAAGAAAACAGTAATTTTTTTATATAACTTATTTTTTATATTCTTTAATTCAAACTGAAAAAGTATTTAATGTGTACCTAACTTTTTATTTCATGTTTTAGAGCAAAATGTTTGTGTGGAGATTGTTAATTTGTTATTTGATTTTTTTTTAAATTTAATTTTGTGTAAATATTTTCAATTTATTATTATAATTGACTATTTACGATCATTTTACTCCTTTCCTCATTTAACAGAACTACTGTTGTATATACAGGATAACTTGTATTTCCCAGAAGTGACTTTTTAAAGTGTGCCAACATTATATTTCAGTCATTTGTTTCGCCTCTCTGAGCTCTTTCTTTTAACAGCATTATATTAATTAACAATTTAGTGATATGCAATTTTTTTTTAGAAAACGTTTTTCTATTATGTACTTTTAAAATATATATAATATTTTTGTAATTTATGCAAATAAATATATATATACACGTTCATATATATGTATATGTAAGGATGGAGTTGAAAAAAACTGGTTGTATAAAACTAAATAAACAATAATCGGCTATTGTGTATAAAGGAAAGTGTTTAGTGTGTGCATGGTAAGACTGCTAATTTGTGATGCTAACATGACATTTGAAATGTAATGGTTATAAATTTAAAGTGAAGGCAGAAAAGCGGCTTTTAATTGCGTTGAAATGCTGTAATCACAGTTTTATCCCATTTGTTTTGTTTTTATTTTTTGTTTAAAAAATGATATTTTCATAAATGTGGTTTGCCTCATGTATCACAACGGAGACTAAAGGAGTAACGGCCAGCAATGGTTAGTGTATAAATGTGATTTTTTTTTTTTTTATCATTGATGATAATTTTATTCCTGTATTTAATTCAATGAAATAGCTAATATATGAAGTTGATATAATTATCTAAGGCTATTTTGTATCATTCAGATTAACCCCAAACCCTAATTTAATTCTACATATATTTGGGTAAATACATTTTATATATGGACAAAAGCACACACACCACCCTTAAATTTTAATGTATTTAAGTTTAATCATATTTTGCAAGACAAAAATAGGTTTGATTGTAAAAATAAGACATTTAAAAAGAAAATGTTTAATAACTAATACTAAAAAAGAATTATTGAGAAAAGAATAAAAAACAGAATATTAGAAAACAAATAAAAATGTAAAACATCTTTGGCACATATCAGGATCGTTAAACACCTTTGTATTTCTTGGAAAATATTTCTGATAAAATCCTGAGGAATTCTTTCCCATTCATCAAGAACAGCCCTTACCAACTCTTCTAGAGCTAAAAAAAGTCATTTAAGAAGAAAATATTTATTACCTAATTCTAAAATAAATAAAGAATAAAAAATAGGCAATTAAAAAACAAATAAAAATGTAAAAAGAAGTTCTTTATCACTTTTAATACTGAGTTTTTCCACCTCTGGCACAAATCACATCTGTTAAATGCCTTTGTGTTTCTTGGAAAATATTTCTGATAAAATCCTGAGAAATTCTTTCCCATTCATCAAGAACAGCCCTTTCCATCTCTTCTAGAGCTAAAAAAAAAGTCATTTAAGAAGACAATATTTATTACCTAATTCTAAAATAAATAAAGAATAAAAAAATAGGAAATTAAAAAACAAATAAAAATGTAAAAAGAAGTTCTTTATCCTCTTTAATACTGAGTTTTTCCACCTCAGGCACAAATCACATCAAGAAACACCTTTGTGTTTCTTGGAAAATATTTCTGATAAAATCCTGAGGAATTCTTTCCCATTCATCAAGAACAGCCGTTTACAACTCTTCTAAGGTGTTTGCTGTCGTACTATCACTGGTTGGTCCCAAATGTGTTCGATTAGGTTCAAATCTGGACTTCGAGCTGGCAACACCAAGCTTTCAATTCCAACCTGATTTAGGTAGCCATCCACTCATGCTCTATGGGGGCTTGTATTATCCTGCATTAACAACACTCTCTCACCGATGAGAGGGGCAAATTTCACTACATGTTCTTTGATTATGTTAAGTGCCTCTGTGAAGTTAGAGATTTTGCTCCCACACAACCAATTTGGTGCGGCGCCTAAGGAAATGCCACCCCAGAAAATCTGAGAAACCATGGGGCATACCTTTCTCCTGAGCGTCTCCATTAAATTACACCCATCTGAATATTTGAGGCCAACCCACCTCCTCTGTAAAGAGAACTCAGCCCCAATCTCTTCCAATTACGTGCTCCAGGGGGCGTCGGTGGCCGCAACGGTTTAGGTGTTGACACAGTGCTCATTACTGTAAGGTGGTCCAGTGGCTCTGCATTCAAACCCGACATTACAAAATGGGCTTTTTTTCAAAAACACCGGCACCCTGAGGGTTTATATGACCTCTGGTGTTGCGAACCCTCGTTTAAAAAACGAAATTATGTGTTCCAGTGCGAATTAAAGCCTGGCCATTTTCTGAGCTATGGTAAGAAGTTGTCTACGAGCCCTGTGCCGGGACCCCATTTTATTTTCATTGGGCCTCCCTACAATTCTGTAGGAAATCGAAACATCTCGGACTTGTCTTATCAAATTTCTTAGCTCATTTCCCGTACTTCTGTGATACTTTAAACCTGTCTCTGTCTTTGAACCTAGATCGATCCTGTCCTGACAAACAACCAATTTGGTGCAGCGCCTAAGGAAATGCCACCTCAGAACATCTGAGAAACCATGGGCATACCTTTCCCCTGAGCGACTCCATGAAATGACACCCTTCTGAAGATTTGAGGCCAACACACCTCTGTAAAGAGAACTCAGCCCCAATCTCTTCCGATGTCCAATTACGTGTTCTGGGGGGGCATCAGTGGCTGCAATGGTTTAGGCGTTGACACGGTACTGTAAGGTGAAGGTCCCGTGTTCAAATCCAGCGGCCCTGCATTCGAATCCGACATACAAATGTTTTTTTTATTTTTTTTATTTTTATTTATTTTTTTTCAAAAACACCGGCACCCTGAGGGTTTATATGACCTCTGCTGTTGCGAACCCTCGTTTAAAAAAAAAAAGAAAAAGAAAAAAACTTATTCCAGTGTGAATTGAAGCCTGGCTATTTTCTGAGCTATTGTAAGAAGTGGTCTTATTTTAATTTTAGTTTCGTTGACATTATTTTCATTTTATTTCCTTACAATTCTGGAGGAAATCGAAACATTTCAAACTTGTCTTATGAAATTTCTTAGCTCATTTCCCATAATTATGTGGTTTACTTTAAATCTGTCTCTGTTTTTTCACCTAGGTCGACCCTGTCCTGACCTTCTTGTGTGAAGCCTTCTTTCCCAAAGCATTGAAGATTAATATTCAGTCCCCTAGCGACTTTGCGCTATGTCCTCCCTCTAATAATGTTATGACCCTGACACTGTCATACTCACTCAAATACCTGACTATTGAAAATGGTTTAAGAATAACAATAATTTCTTTCCATTGAGTTTCAATTTTGGTTGAAATGAAAAAGCTTGTGCCACAAGTGGGATTCGAACCCACGACCTTTGGCTAGATACTCTACCACTTGAGCTACCATGACTTCAATCCAATCAGACTTCCCACCTCAACCTACTTTCGAATTTTCCCTCCTTTTTGCCAGTTCTTGGACAGTTGGTGTCAATGTGGTGCAAGACCCAGAAGCGCTACATGTTTTTCCATTATGTCTTGTAAGTACTCTGTGAAGTTATAGTTCTTTTTCACACAACAACCAATACGGTGTGGTTATCCAAGGAAACGCCATCCTCGAACATCAATGATCCACCATGGAATGCCATCTGAGGCGTTTCACCTTTCACCTGAGTGTCTTGTATGAAATTATGCCCATCTGAAGATTTAAGCCCAACTCTCACCTCATCTGTAAATAGAACTCTTTGGCCCAATCTTCCAATGTCCTGGCCATTTTCTAAGCTTTGAGAGATTTGTATTTAAAACAAATGCAAATCATTGCCAACATGAAAGCACAAACACAGGTATAGATATTTTTTGTAACAAAAACAAACTACACCATTTGCTTAAATGGCCTTTTACGTCACTTCAGTCTATTTAATGGCTTTGCCCATAGATGTTAGATATCAAATTGTCCATTATATGAAGAATCAGAATGAGAAATGACACATTCAGATTTTCTTTTCTTCACCTACCATGTGTATATAATTTCTCGTTCTAACTAGCAAGATATCATCACATGTTTCTACAGCATACTGCAGTTGGTTTGTTTTGATTTTAGACTTCATATGAACCTGCAGAAAGAAATCAACAAGTGCTCATTCATTCTCACTAATTCTTCACTGGTGGTGAATTCTTTTATAAACTAATTTCATATTTTTCATAATGGAACTACGGTGAGGAGCTGGTCGCCCAAGATAGTCTTGTTTCACACAAAACTTAGACCAGTAAAATATTCTGATATTTTTTTGGGTGGAAGGGCTGATGAACTTGTAATTTTGGTCTGCCTATCACAGAAATCATGAACCCTATGGATCAAGGTGTGGTCTTGAAGAAAAGAGCAAATGCATTTGTTACTGTCTAGCTTTCGACCTATTTTAAGATCATTATCAGGGCAAAACGATCTTAAATATGCCTACAAATTGTCATATTTAAGTTTTTTACATGCGGTCTTAAATTTTCTTGAAGACTTAAAAACTTAAACTCTACTGAATGTTAATTAGGAAATTTAAAAAATTTCACTAGAGTCCATTTAATCAGGAAGTTCGTTGGTTTTGCTATGTTGTGACAAAAAAAGGCACCATGTGTATATGTGGTATTTTATTATTGTAATTATATATACACATGTAAAGTATATAAAAGTGAATTAAATTAAAATAAAAGTTTTTATTTTTCGTACTGTAGATTGTTGAACGTATACATTGGTTGGAATTTTATTTATTTGTTTTCGACCTCATGGCATGGTCCTCTTCAGTGAGTGTGCTTGTCATGACACATTGCTGGAAAGTCCACTGTATAGGCAAATGTAACTAACACTGAAAAGGACCAAAAAACCTACTATATAAATAATAAGATTCGAAATTTACAGCAAAAAAAAAATTAATTACTTTAAAAAATATATAAAATAAAAATGTTCTTGTATGTCGCACATTTACACAACTTATATATTCCTTAAGAAATATAATTTATCTTCAAAAAACACATGTTTTGTTTTTATTTCCTATTTGCATTAAAATTAGAGTTAGGCAATAGAAGCTTTTCAGCTCTTAGGCTTTATTGATACGTTATAGCTGATTTAATCCTCAGACATGTCGATTCACGAATTTCAACAACTCGCCCAAGAGATTTCGTACTCTTTCGATGACACTGTGTACCTCGAGGAACGCCGGCCATTGAAATTTCCACACAGAACTCCAAGGTAACTTTAATGCGAATGAAAGTTCATTAGAAGGCAACAAGAACAACTCTTTCTGGGGTTTTCACTCACAAAAATTTGAATTTTTTAAAAAACCTAACCATCCCTAACTACTCCAGGTTGGCTACCACCAGGTGGATCTTAATACCCAATTTTATTTTAGCCAATGTAAAGACAGCATCCATTTGAACAAGCCATAATGTTTAGCCCTTCCTGAAAGCCAGAATTTGAACTGACTGTTTGTTGAGTCGTAGCCGACTCTGGTAGATCTTGACATAAAAGAAATAATAAACCAAATGCCTTTTAATATCTTTGCAAAGTTTAGTTTTTGTTTTTATCCTTAAGTCGACAAAAGTATGCAAACAAGGAATTAATAAATTTCTGTTTTGATCCCAATGATAAGTACATGTAAATTGTTGATACTATCCAAAATTCAGCGAGTGTGCATTCCAAATTAATCCAGAGTTCTTCAGATGATTATTATGCATTATTAACATTATTATTTTTAATAAGAAGGCAAGTTTATCTTGATTTTTGCTACTATATTACTGAAGTATTAAACTAAACTTAAATAAATAATTAATTCACTAATTTTGTGGTCCGCTTGACCAATTAATATACTACAATTAATTAAGGTTTTTTAGTTGAGATAAAAAAGTCAATGGCACAAGCGGGATTCGAACCCACGATCTTCGGCTTGATACGCCGCTGCTCTACCACTTGAGCTATCGTGACCTCGATCCACTAAAAAACCTTAATTGTATTAAATAAAAAACTTTTATAATAGTTGTTGGTTATTTTGTATGTGTGTACAAATATGTTGGTAAGATTAACAGGTAAATTATTTTTTAGCTTAGACCTTCTTGAAGTCACAGAACTTTTTGGAAATGTTGCATTCGAAGAGGAGGCGGTTGAAGGCTATTGGATTGTAGATCTTTTAACATTAGACGATCTCAAGAGTATACATACCGAATTTATTGTAAATAAATTCTCTATACTGTTTATTTTCATACGATTTTATTTGCAAAAGTGTTAAATTTCTCAGAATTTTGTCGACCACAGAGTAGACCAACGTCAGTTAAAGACTCTTCTTACAAGGTACAACCCAAAACTCAACTGGCCAGATGAAGAATTTAATCTCGTCTTCCTCAAGGTAAGCCGTATTAGTTCATTAAAATTAAAAAAAAAAAAACAGACGAAACTTTTGAAATTTGTAATTTAGATGGATGATGATTTTGATGGGTATTGCGATTGGGCTGATTTTATTGCTTATCTGCTCTACGAGCTACATTCGAAAGAAAATTTATTATCTCCTGATCAGCAACAGCAACTCGAGCTGCCAATAAATGAAACTACAATAGTTCTTCCTTCGAGACACAGACATCCGATCATTGCAGTTCTTTTCCGGCCTTATATCAACAAGGTATATAGAACTTAAGTATAACTTGATATATATTTTTAAAATAAATGTTCTAAAGGATAGAACCTGGGACTACGACAATGGAAAATATATGACAGTGAGTACAGATGGTGCTCTCAATATCTGGTCACTAGATTTTGAATTAGAAAAATCTCAATATGCATTTTACCGTAAATACCAGTTTTTTTAAAAATTACGACTATTAATGATTAAGATAAAATATTTCAATAATCTTTTAGCAAAGGAAGCAAAAGTGCAGAAGACAGTTGTGACAAGCGTTGTCTGCTTGACTGACGCAAATCTTATTTGCATGGCGACCAGAGAGAGGGACTTGCGCTTCTATGATATATCACTCGGCAATTTCCATTTGAAGAGTTGCGTAAGTAATTTTGAAATAAAATTTGTCTGAAAGTATTTACAAAAGGCTGAAGCCTGTTTCAGATTGTTGGCCTTCATCAAACGGTCACCGCTTTGCATTATCATTTCTACCAGGACGAGGAAAAGCCGTCTGTTCTGATCGGTGGAGATCTGGTCGGAAACATTTTGTTCTTAAAGTTGAAAACCAAGTCTGGCGGCCCGTTCAGAACACTTACTCAGACCAGCCAGAACGGTTTTGTTATAATTAAAATCGCAAGTTTGGAACATGTACGTACAAAAATGATGTATTTTTATAAAATAGAATAGAAATAGAAATATATTTAAAAAAAACACTTTCACAGTAGGGCTTGGCCCATTTACAGTAAGTAAAAAGATTTTTAGTTGAGATAAAAAAGTCCATGGCACGAGCGGGATTCGAACCCACGATCTTCGGCTATATACGCTGCTGCTCTACCACTTGAGCTCTCGTGACCTCGATCCACTTGGACACCAACTTCCTATCTCAACCTCACCTTTTTGAGTTTTCCCTCCTTTTTGCCATTTTTATCAACTAAAAACCTTAATTAATTGTAATATATTAATTGGTCAAGTGGACCACGAAATTAGTGAATTTAGTAAGTAAAAATATATAAAATAAATAACAAAAAGCTTACAAAATATAAATGCAAAAATAATTAATAAACAAAATTGGTATGATATTAACATAATTGAATATGAACGAAGAAGAGAAGTAGGCATAAAGTGAAAATGTAAAAGAGGAAGAAAAAGAGAAGAACAACAAGATAATGTTGAGTTAGTTTGATCAAATCAAGGATTGTTTCCCAAAAAAGTTGAAAGCTTCACGGCTGAAAGCTCAAAGGGCGTGGGCTGACCTAATATGCCACAGAAGGGAATTACACAGATGAGCCCCAGCAATCCTAAATGAATCATTCGTAGATTTGGATGATGGGCAGGTAGTGTCCAAGATCCCGCCAGAACCGGACCAGGTCAGCCCAGGCCACCGCTGAGTGGTCGGCTGCAGTGCACCTATTAAGTATAGACTTTTGAAATTTGGGCAACACCACTCCGATTCAGATAATTCAGACAGATGCAGATAAAAACCACTTACATCCCCTGGTAAGGCTGTGGAAAAGTCCGCATCTTCCCCGCAGTTCGGGGCACAACTTGCCTTGTGCACTTTCTTCGACCCCCCGTCAGCAACCCATCCGGCCCGCCCAGACCCATCCAGCAGAATCCCAGCCCACTCGGCTATCCGACTTAATTATATGCCCAACCCGGCGTTCTGTAGAAATTCATAAATACCTCTATAAACTTTTCTGTTACCTGATGCCAACAGGCTCTCAAAACAAAATGGCTTAATTACTTCTTTCGTTTTGTGCTCCGTGCAGGAGAGAAGTGTTTGAGAGTCTCTGGTACGTCACAGGTTGGGCAATTTGGCGACTGTCTCAGTCTGATCCTATACAAATAAGATCTGCAGATAGCATGGTTCCTTAAGTGCGTTGAAACTGAAAAGAATATTTTGCTTCCGTGTTCATTCTTGAACCAAGGAACAGTGGTAGGACTATTAAATATTGATCAGTAAGATGCTCCTCTTTTACTCCTGTTATACCAGGCGATCCATTCGTTCTTCCACATGGAGCTCAGCAAATGCTTGGCATCCAGTCTTGGAAGCCTGATGTCTGAGTATTCTCCTTCCTCCATTGCTATTTTTAATTTTAAATAAGTAAAAAAGAGAGGTAACTAAATAAATAATAAATCAATACCCAGAATTACCTTGTCATGTGTTGAGATGTGCTCTCTTCTTCGTAAACTTAATACAAATCTTGTGCAATTATTAAAAATATTCTAATTTTTTTAGAAGAAGTATGGTTAAGTGAAAACGAGTAGATAATACTGCAATAAGAAAAAAAAAAAAGAAAAAAAAGGTAGAATAGGAGTTTTTAATAGTCTAAGTTTTAGTGTCAAAGAGATAAATTTATATTTCCAAAATGAATTCACCCTTCTAGTGACAAAGCCTAAATGATCATCCCAAGATAATCTGATATTAAAAGTCTCACAAAAGTTTTTTACCTAGATCAAAAAAGGTATCTAAAGAGCCGTCAAGAGTAACGCAAAGAAAATCCTCAGTTGGCAGATGCGTGTTGTAAATAATTATCGATGGGGATTTGAGCGGATTGAGTTTGAGACCATTATTTGAAGCCCTTGATTAACCAAAAAGGTCTTTGTTAATGAGTTGAATGGAATCAGAGATTAAATGAGTGGCCATTGTATATAAATTTGGAGTAATTTAAACAAGAAGGGAGGTCATTAATAAAAATTGAAAACAATAATGCTCCTAAAATTGCTCCTTGAGGAATGCCAAACTTAACAAGGAGATCGGATGAAAGTTTTTTATAGGAAGTTTGACAACTTGTTTACAACCTGACAAATAAGTGGATATTAATTTAGAACTAGAGGACGAACAACCAAAAAAATTAAGTTTCCCAAAAAGTAGTCCAAATAAAAGTGGTTTAGAGTAGCAAAATAAAATTATTTTTGCATTAAATTTTTATAAGTTATAAATACACAATAATGTACGTAATATGTTCATGTAGAACAGTTCAATTCTGCAAGTTTATAATATTTTGGAGCCCATTTTTTTTTTAATATTTGAAATGCACTTGATTTTTATTTGAAGGTGTTTAAAAAAAATATGGAAATTTTTGAGACTAATTTGTCTTTTATATATATACTGCAAAAACAATTAAATGTTGTTGGTTTGTTTTAAAAAGTAAGCTCAGTACTTACTTAAACATTTATTTGTACGTTGTGAGAATTTACACCCATCAGCAGCATCTTATAGGTTTTTAAATAAAAAATTAAAAGATTTAAAGATATATTACCATTTTGCATCTACAAGTCGCACGGCCAAGCTGGCAAAAGGCTATCTATTGGGTTTTAATATATTTTTATATACGCTTTTAGGGTCAAATCCAAGGAATTAAATTTAAAATGTTTGAGGGATTTCAATCTGACTGGATACATCAAATTGAATGGTTTCCTGAAATATCTCAAATTGTATCCTGCCAAAACAAGTCGAAAAATTCCCTCATTGCGTTCGACCCTTCGAGCAAGGAAATAAAAATGAAATTCAGCATACCAAAAGGTGTCAATGTTTTTTGCATCGTGAAAGGTAATTTATGATTTAATTTTAAGATTGTCATTTGATCACTGAACAAATCTTTTGTAGACAGTGTACCGATGAGATACGTGACTGGTGGATATGACAGTGCGATTAGAGTTTGGGATCACATGCACAGTTTTGAACCCTTGGCGGTCCTCCATGGACACCACACTCCAATAGCGGCTATAATAGTACAAAACAAAGGCACTAAAATATATAGCCTAAGCATAGAAAAGATATTCAAAGTTTGGGACGTCAAGCAAAAAGCATGCATCATGGTACAAACATCTCTTTGTAGGATTTTATTTTTTGACACGACTGTTTAAATATTTTCGTTTAACAGACAGTTCCAGGGAAGCTATCCGACTTGGGGAAAGAGATACCATTCACATGTTTCTACAATCCTGTGTATAGGAGGTTCATTGCTGCAAATTATAAAATCAATCTGTTAAGACTCGGCCATGAGATAAATCACTATTATTCTGAAGGGTTTACACATGTTGCTGGAGCGACCAAAGCACTATTTAATCCAATTTTTAAATGTGTGAGTACAATGTAATATCAATTGCTCTGATCACCTTGGTGGCTTATCCGTTTCGCTATTTTTATGAAAATTTAACCAAGGTGATCAAAAACAACCTAGTTACAGGTTCATTCCATTCTCTTCGACAGTTGGGTGGTAGTTAAGGCCATATAGCTTTATCGAGGTAAAGGCAAAAAGTGTATGGAATTGTTTGGAATCCCTGGTGACCCTTCTGTGGCCAGAGTTGGGCAAAATCAAACTAATTCAATCATGATTAAGAATTTTTATTGAAATTTAATCATGATTGAATTAGTCATGAGTACATTAATCATTATATGATTTAATCATAATTAATTCAATCATGAGGTATGACTAAATCATATAATGATTAATTTACTCATGTCTAATTCAATCATGATTAAACTTCAATCAAAATTCTTAATCATGATTGAATTAGTTTGATTTTGCCCAAGTCTGGCTACAATGACCAACTTACCAAAATCCAACCGACTCCGGATAAAAATTTTGAGATGAGAGTCGTGCTCAAGGCCAACCTTCAAAAAGTGTTATAAACGAAAACCAAAGTTACATAATTATTCTACATGTCTATTTTATTACAATCAAGACCCCTAGATGGTGTATTTTCCAAATAATGTAGAAATCTCTCCTTTTAAGTGGAATAAATTTTTATTCAAAGAAATATTTTTTCCATTGATCGGTTATGTAAACATATTTACTTTTCAAAGTGTAGCTTGTTCTAGGATTTGTTTATTTTATTATTATTATTATTTTTTGACTTTTTATAACGACGGAGTTTTACTTATAATTGGAAGATTCATTTTCGTTAAATAAGGTGTTGAAGGATTTTCGTTTTGATGAAATAAATTTCTGTTAGAAATTTTTTTAAAAGTGATGAAGTTGTATATTTTTCATTTTTTGAGCATCCATTTGAACATGATTTATCGAAATTTAGTCACGACTAACTATATTGTGACTAAATTAGTCATGCCTCGTATTTAATTACTAGTCATGACTAAGTTAGCCATCAATCACATATGGCGACTAATGACTAAATTAGTCATTTACTACCAATCATGACTAACGGTCTGAGTGATCAATCATTAATCATTAGACATGACTAATTTTTGCCCAACACTGTCTGTGGCATAGGAATCCACACTATTAACGAATATCTCAGACAGAAGGACAAAAAGAAAATGAGGGAACTTTGGAATTCACTCATTGGACATAGGCAATCCAAGAATCTTCTAACCAATTTTGGTAGGAAAGAAATTACAGAATGTGTCAAAGGAAGCAGGAATAGACTGCGAATCCTAATAGGATTCCTAACAGGACACTGCAAGTTAAATGAACACTTGAAAAAAGTTGGAATAATCCAAGATGGCACATGCAGATTCTGCAAGGAGGCAGAAGAGACACCAACACATTTACTAACAAACTGCAGAGCTTCACTAGCCCGCAGGAGGAAATGTTTTGGGATGTATAATGTTGTCTCCCCTCTTGGTAATTACACCTCGGTCTTTCAGGCGGAGGTCTGGGCCAATGTTTGCTGCAGAACACTCATGGATAACAAGATTAAGGGAAAAATATTAAAATCTTTTCCGACAGTCAGGCCAGTCTTAAATCATTACAAAAAGAGTTATCAACATCTAGGCTGGTAGAGGAAACCGTTGAACTTATTAATAGGATTGCTACCAGGTACTAGAATAGGGTAACCCTCATATGGATACCTGTTCATAAGGGGCACAATGGCAATGAAGAGGCGGACAGCCTGGCCAAAGAAGGATCTAATACTGCGTTTGTCGGGCCACACCCGGTATTACCCCACTCTATAAGCACAGCGAAAGAGAGTATGCTGGGGCATGAAACAATTCCTTAAAGAATGGAATATGTCCCCCGGACACAGTCAATATATATAAAACAAACTGCAGAGCTTCACTAGCCCGCAGGAGGAAATGTTTTGGGATGTATAATGTGACCATAGAAGAGTTTCAACCACTGAAACCGGGCCTATTAATCCAGTTTCTTGAAAATGGGTCTCACCGATGTGCTTTAGGCAGAGCATGGGGGATACAATAGCTCTTAAAGGGCACAGTATACTATACCCTGAAATTACATGTACATATACATCTTGGAATCCCTGGCAGAAGTCAGTGACACTAATGACTAACCCTGGCAAGGATCCCCCCCTTTGCTCAGGAATTGTGAAATGTTGTCCAAAAAAATGGAACCAATATTAATTATCTAGGACCCTAACCATCCCTAACCATATCCTATCATAGCACCTTGCCACAAAGTAGTAGGGTACATCCAAAATGGATTCTTAATTAGTACAAAATCTGGTGGAGCAACACCCCCGCCTTGAGGCCCCCAAAGAGATTCATGAAAGGGCCATCTGCAAGCTTTCTAAGGAATTACTGGATGGTATCTGCAACAGAACCAGCATTTTGATAAGGCACTGCTGCCTAAGAAGGTATATGCACTGGACAGTAATACTGCCAGGAAGAAGTGGAGACCATAGAACACGTTTTGTGTTTTTGTGGAGGTCAAAGAGAGGAAAAGCTGCAAGCTTCTACACTAAGAAGCCTCTGGAAATGATATATAGGTTGATTAACAAACCTGAAGCTGGTTAGTGATGTGTAAAAATAGAGGAGCACAATGGATCCACTCAGGTGTGGTGCAGAATAGCTTGTGGCCACCTCTTTTACAGGTTCATTTATCTCACAGATCTCACACCGACATTTTATATTTTAATCATATCTTCATTATGTGGACCATAAATATACAATAGTGTACAAAAAAATTTTTTTATTAAACAATGTGTATTACATGGTTTTTTGTAGGTTGTGACCGTGGGCATGGATTCCAACATTCTTACGTGGAATCCTTACAATGGCAAAAGGATTCACATGATACGTAATGCGCACACAAAGGAGCAATATGGTGAGACCAAAGCTGTCGGTATAACGAGTGCCACATTTGGTCCTTCTTTAATCCACTTGCTTACCGGAGCGGTTGACGGGAGTGTAAAAATGTGGAACTTCTCTCTCGGCATTTGTCTCAGGGACATGCTAATGAAAAAAGATTGGTAATGGCGAAGAATTCAGCGTTGATCGGCTAATAGAATGATGTTTTTTTTCAGTTGTGTGACTGGACTGTACTGGATACCGCAAAGGCTCCTGGCTATGGGCTGGAACAAACACGTGACTGAGTGGGTGGATGAGGTGGAGATAGGAGACAGCAAGAATTGGCCGATGTACCACACTGAAGATATAACAGCATCGGCAATCTTCCCACCAAACATCATAGCGACAGGGACGTACAGCGGAGAATTGATATTTCTTAAGTTAAAGAATGGACAGCCATTTAAAATCCATTTTGTCGGAGTCCCCAACTTGGAGTAAAATATTAAACATTTTTACTTGTTAGACATTCTTCTTTAAAAAAAAAAATCTTTTTATTTATATTTAGCAATCGTGTTGGATTTGCAGTGAACCGAGGCATCCCTCTGAATTTGCGGTCATCATTTTGTGAATCCACAAAAGAAAAGAATATTTTTCGCTGCCACTGCTTAGAAGAGAAGAAGTGAGAAGTTACATATATAAATACAACTCATAAATGCATTAACTTTTCAAATTGTAGATGCGATTGTGAATGGATGTGCCCGTGTTTAGAAAACTGTGACTGCAAGGCCTCCGCTAGATGCAAGTGTGACCAGACAGTATTTTTCTATAAAGAAGGAAAAGAAATGGAAGATTTGGAATCAATGTTTGAAGGCTTAGTCAGACGTGATAAGGAGCCTTCAAAATGTGCAAAATCGCCGAAATTACTAGATTCAAAAAAGAAAAAGAAAAAGCCACAATCCCCCATTATAACCGGAACTGCAGGTCAGAATAAAAAAAATCCCCAAACTGATTCTTGCACGTTAAACCTTCATCTTTACAGGAAGAATGGAGATACATACAATGTATTTTCTCACAACCAGGGGGGACAATCTTGAAGAAGGCTCCTTACTCGCTTCTCTTCAAAACGGCTGGGTCCAGCTCTGGTCTAGCAACCCTGAAGGGGGATTAGTTAGCACTTTCTATGCAATACATGTCGTCGGCGATTATGTTACTGATATGATTGCAAATGCTGACAATTCTTTCCTCTTTACAGGTTTGTATAAGGCAGTTTTCATAGGGTGAGTGATGTACTAAATATGTCAAATGAACTCCAATTCTAAACAAAAATTTTTTAAAATTATTCTCAACATATTGAAATAAAATTGCTGTTTGATTTAGATTTGGAACACATGATTTTAATTTTTTTTTAAATTTCTATTTATTTTATAGAAAGTGTTTTTCAAAAAATAAATGAATATAGCATTTTTCAGTCAAATGAAACTTTTTTGCAATCAAATGAAACCTTTTTTCTATCAACTTAAACCATTTTTCAAGCAAATTAGTTTTTTTTTTTTTTCAAGCAAATGAAACCTAAAACCTAATGATAATAATTATGCAGAGGAATAAATAAATGACATTATAGTACTAACAATAATTTTTATGATGATTGAATATTAAATAATTGAATCGTAAGGCTTAGGTACAAACTCCACCCCACTCCATCATTCATAATTTCTATCACAGAAAGTTGCTCGCTCAAAAACACTTTTCTATCCCACTTAATTAAACTTCGATGGGGTGGATGTAGAAAAGTTTGATGAATACAGATCTTCACAAGAAACGTTCTTGTACCTAAGCCTTACGATTCAATTATTGTAATATTAATGTTACAACATTAACAAACATCATAAAAATTATTGTTAGTACTATAATGTCATTTATTTATTCCTCTACATTATTATTATTAGGTTTTAGGTTTCATTTGCTTGAAAAAAGGTTTAATTTGACTGAAAAAAGTTTCATTTGATTGAAAAAAGTTTCATTTGGTTGAAAAAAGTTTCATTTGGTTGAAAAAAAGTTTCATTTGGTTGAAAAAAAGTTTCATTTGGTTGAAAAAAGTTTCATTTGGTTGAAAAAAAGTTTCATTTGACTAAAAAATACTATACATATTTTTTTGAAAAATAATAATATCAGCTATTAAAACACTATATATATCATTACAACAACAAGTTCACAGATTTTAACTTGTATATAATCATGTGGACGCTTTCATGAATGTATATTAATTTAGGACAACAAAATTATAGGTATATACAATTTTTTTGCCCTTGTCCTTCCACATTAGCCACATAAAAATATGACAACGAACTAACAATACTTTAAACAATTACATTCAAAATTTTTGTTAAATGAGTGAGAGGATGAAATCGACTCCAAAGAGCCATCCACATAGTGGAAACCATCCAGCTGGCAGGAGAAGCGGGCCTGCCATTTATTGATAAACGTAATGCCCTTCTTGATTGGGTAACCAGGGTCTTATGGGAGATGTGAATAAAAACCACTAACATCGAAATAATTTGGAAAAGTCTACACCTCCCTGAGCTCTGGAACAAAACTCGCTCTGGAGAACCCCCCCCCCCTGGCCAAGATAGATAGATGTCTTTATTTTTTATAATCTTGTTACATAATGTTGTTATTATGATCTATTTACAAAAGTAAAGACATGCATTGCCACTGGTTGTGCAAACCGTTGTGGGTGAGTTGACCTTGCGACCTATTACATTTCTTTTATTTCATAATTAAATAAAATAATTCTCTTTTAAACCAATAGCATTACATTTACAGTTAAAGTTTCATTGATAGAATAATAATATCAAACTAATAATGACTTTAGGGCTAATCTATAATTGTACATAAATCATATTATTTCTTTTTAAACAATTACTAAATTGTTTTACACTTCATATTGATGTAAAATCATAATTTAAATAATATAAGTGAAAAAAAGTAAAGTAAATCAAACCAAAATAAATCAAAGATCAATAACAATAATTTAGGGATAACTAAGATAACAAATAAATGACAAGCAAATTACCCTTATATTATTTTGGCCCTCAAATCGTAAGCCGCTCTGCAGTAACGCACAAGCACTACCCAATTTTCCCCATTTATATATTTAATCATTTTTTGTGCTGGAGGCTTACGGTCATGAAAATAGGCCATTCTTAAATCGGATAGTCTGGGACAGACCACGAGAAAGTGAAACAGATCTTTTATCACGTACTGGTCATTACACAATGGACATCCCATCTCTATCTTCTTGTATGGTTGTTGTTTTAGTTTCAGGGTTTGGCTTCTTACTGCCATTACCCATTGTAAGTATGACCATGGGAGCTTTGCCAGCAAGTAGCTTTTATCTTTTAAATCAAAAATTAACTCCTGATATAGAGGGTATTTTTCTGTTTTCCTTACTCCTTCTAGAATTTCTTGGTGCCATAGTAGGATATTTAATTTTGCCCCCAATTATTTTGCCAATTTTGAATAATGGCAAAAAGGATGGAAAATTCAAAAGGTGGGGTTGAGATGGGAAGTTAGTGTCCGAGTGGATCGAGGTCACGATAGCTCAAGTGGTAGAGCAGCGGCGTATCAAGCCGAAGATCGTGGGTTCGAATCCCGCTCATGCCATTGACTTTTTTATCTCAACTAAAAACCTTAATTAATAGTAATATATTAATTGGTCAAGCAGACTACGAAATTAATGAATTTAATGATTATAAAAAATGTTTATTTTAAGGTCACGCTTTTGGATATGTCAAAATATGGCATATTTCAAATTTTGGAAGAGCAGGGCCACCAATAAAAAGGAGCATGCCAGTGCTGAGACTTATGTTTCCATTTCTCATTAAAGACAAAATACCAGGGAGGGCTAAGCGAGCTGCAAAAGGTCAATCTGAGCCTGTGCTTCTGTCTTCTTGTCGAAATCATGTTTCTAAAGTATCACATATTGAGCTAATAGAAGTTAATCAAATATATATAACGTAAGAGTTGCATACTCGAAACAAAAAAATATTTTTAATTGAACTGCTGAAAAGCTCGTAATGGAGAGTTCTTTTCAGGTGTGGTTTAGACAAAGCCGTTAGATTTTGGACGTATGGAGGCCAGTACATTGGGACCCTCGGTGGATGTTTACCTTGGCCAAAAATACCTCCAGATGCTCCTTTCAAACCATGGCCACACAGGATCCCACCAGATCTAAAACGTGTCGTTTCTTCTACAAGTCTAAAAGCAAGTTTTCCCAAAAGTTTTTATTCCAAGTTTGACTTTAACTTTTAAATATTTTACAGGTTTTGACAGACTGCTATGCTAAAGAGGTCAAGTATGATGATAAGTCCAACAAGACTGATCTGTTTTCTTCGGATGACGATGATGAAAAAAGGTACAAGAAAGTCATCGAAGCAAGGGAGCTCAAACACAAAATATACCCTGATTCGATGAAGAAAAATGTCCTGGGCCAATTTTTTAAACTTACTGATCTAAAAGTTACTGTCAAACCGCCTCCAAAATTGAATCTTCAGGATCCTGTGGTAAAATTTACAAAACTTCTTGCGTGTTGCTCAGTTTGTACGATTGTTTAATGTTTCAGCTGAGGGTGCTTAACTTAATGAAAACTACTGAAATGGATCCTGTCCGTAAACCTAAAACTCCTCCGTATGCTAGTCGGGAGTAAGTATATTTTACACTTTTTACATAGTGATGGTGATGAGGATACTAGGAAGCTATACTAGGAAGGTTTGTGCTCCCCAGGCACTTCTGGTTTCCTAGGCTTCCTAGTTCAGTGCAATCGTCTTGATTGAAAGAAGTACTAGGTCATTGATTGTTGCTGCTACATTTCATTCCCTAGTTTTTTATGTATGCTAGGTTATGGGTTATGCCACAGGTTATGCCTCTATTGAGATGTTGCTTCACATTTGAAGCTGTTATGGGCGGCTGTTTCTTCCTCTTAATTAAATAATCTGCAAATAAGATCATTGTTATGTACCATGAAGCTGTCTCTCTTCCCAATGGCCTTACCTCCTCCTTCCTCCCTCTAAAATCTGGGGTGCTCCAAGGCTCTAGCATATCTCCTATCCTTTTTTCCATTTTATTAATGATCTGCCCGACTCCATCCAGTCCTGTAACTATCACCTATATGCCGATGACTCCCAAATATACATATCCTTCCACCCTTCCGATCTTCACTCGGCCACTCTCAAGATCCAAAAAGACCTAAACTCCATCAACGAATGGGCCCATAAAAATTCCCTAGTCCTCAATCCGTCCAAATCCACCGCCATAATTATCGGGTCCAGGCAACTTCTCAATTCCCTCCCCAGCATCCCACCTCTCATGCTAAATAACCATCCCATCCCCTTCTGCTCTTCGGTTAAAAACCTAGGAGTAGTCTTTGACCAAAACCTTTCCTGGCATTCTCACAGTTCCCAAATTTCCCGCCATTCCATTGCCTCCCTCAGCCTGTTTCGTCGGTCCTGGCTTCTCTTACCTTTCTCCACCTGCAAACTCCTTGTATCTTCCCTTATACTTCCCTTCTTTAATTATAGCTGTTTGGCATACGGTGGTCTCTCAGAGGGGGAGAACGTGTGATTGAAGCGTTTTATGAATTGTTGCATAAGATTTGTGTACGGCACCCCACGGGGATCCCGGGTGTCGGGGTTGTATTCCCAACTTTCCTGGCTATTCCCCTCCTTCCGTGCACAGTATTTCCTAGGTTGCTTTCTTTTCCAGTCCATCCACCTGTCGTCCTCCTTACATCATCCAATCCCTCCAATTCAACTCCTCACATCACACTCGTAACACCCGCTCATCCCCAATTGACCTTATCTTTCCGCAACATACAACCCATACCTTCGAAAGATCCTTTCTGATCCGAGCCCCTAAACTCTGGAACTCCCTTCCCCTTTCTATTCGTCACGCTGCCTCCTTTTCCTCCATTAAATCCCACCTGTATAATCACCTCCTCTCCCTCCGAGCAGAGACCTCATGTTAACATTTGTTATTTTTGTTTAATATTCTTGTAATTTTTTCTTCTGTCCTGCCTTATTGGTATACATTGTGCCAAGATTTGTATCTTTTTTTTTTTTTTTTACTTTTAACTTCATAGAAGGAACTTCCTTTATTTATTTAATGTAAATTATTCTTAGGGGACACCAGTCCCAGAATAAAGTTATTTTTCTTCTTCTTTTCTTCTTCTTATGCAGATGTTATCTCAGATGCCAGTGGACGGTTAATTGTCCTATCACTTCTCTGAGTCTGGCCCTCTCCAACTACAGCAGTGAATTTGCTAGTCTTTAGCAAATTTTTCTATGTCTAGCACCCCTAGAATTTATCGCTCTCTTTTTATTTTATTTGGATCCAATCTGTGATGGAGGATTCTGTATTTGATTTTGTTATCCATAGTATAGGATTGGGGCCTATGTACGGTCTTGCAATTCCTCTGGCCAATGTGCCTGCTTTTTCATTACCCAAAAATCCTTTGTGCTCTGGCTCCCAAGATATCATCAGGTTGTTTCCCTGGGTTTTGGAAATTTTGGATGCAATCACTGACTATTTTTGATGTGATTTTTTTTACACGCTAATGCTTTTATAGCTGCTTAGCTATCCAGCCTTATGAGGATTTTTTGTCAGTGAAACTTCTTTTAAAATTTTCTATGGCACAAGCATTGATGGCATGTATTACTGCTTTAAAAGACCAAAGTGTACTTCCCAAATGAGTTTGATTGCTTATATTTTGGGGCTTGATATCCGATCCGTTCCTTCGTTTCTTTTAGAGCCATCTGTATACCATATCATAGTATCTGATGCTCCCCTGAGTTCTTTCTGTTCTTTACAGTCTGTTGAGACTTGACAGGATGTTGTAAAGAATGTTTCCGAGATCTCACTTTTTACCGCTATATCAATATTTTATATGCAGTACCTATTAGTATATAATTTTAAAACAAAGTTTACAATCTAAAGTTAAATGTCTTGAAGCCTAAATCTTAACATTTTAAATATAGGCTGTAAAATTCTGGATTCCACTGTTAGCATGATTGATTATTTACATTGTAATATAGCAGTGTACAAATACAATGCAATACTGCACTGCAGAGTGCAAACACTGTGTTCCAGTTAACCACAACTTAAAATAATCACTAAATACACCAGCTACTTTCAAATGCAATAACTTCTTTTTACATAAATATAATTTGGTAGGGTTAATTAGACTGCATTTATTCTACTTTTAAACTTTCATTCTAATTTTTAGATGGTTGCAAATATTTTTTTCAGAGACTGCCAAAAAAATTGGGAGGACAAGATGTCTATCATGCTAAAGCAAGCGAATGAGTCCAGGGGTCGTTCACGTTCTAAGCGACAAGCACGTTTAAAGAGAGAGAAACAAGAGTTGTCAAAAAATAATAATCATACAAGAAAGCATATTTTGGCTAGATTGCGTAGTCAGTCTAAAAAGCGTTTAAATTCAAAGAAGAAGTCAGCAGCAAAGAAGCACCCACTCATGAAAAAACAGAAAAAACCTCAAAACAGGAAGCGTTCTAGATCGGTTCAAACAAAATTCCGTGCGGAAGATAAACTACCACCGCGTACTCAATCCATACTGCATATAAAACATGATCAAAAGAGAGTTATGAGAATTCTACGAAAGGAAGTAAAAAAGAACCAACAGACTCAAGTTGTGCCTTTTAAAGAATCAGCCGAAATGTGTAAATGGAAGATGTCATTCAGCAGACTTACCAAAAATAGTCAAATACTCTTAAAAGAGCCGAAAAAGTCAACAGATATTACAAAGGGCAAAGTACAATTTAAAGTTGACAAAAAATTAGAAAAAGCAAAGAAGTTGAAAATGCAGATGATGGCAGCGAGAAAACAGGCTAAAACGCCCACAATCATTCATAAGGGAAAGAAATCACCAACCCAAATGAAAAGAGTCCGAGGCTTATATGCTTCTTCATATGAAATCCCTGACATAGTGAAATTAATCAAACATGCACATAAAAACCAATTAAAAAATTTAAGACTCAATTCAAGCAATATTGGCGAAATCATTGACTATCTTCTCGACAATCGATGTGCTACGGCTGCCATAGACTGAGTAAAGAAAAATGTTGACAAAAACAGAAATACATAAAATTCTTGTTGCACATAATTTAACATTGAATAGAGATTTTTCAAGTAGATTTTGATTTATTCTATTCATTAAAAACAAATTAAAACAATATACTTTAGGATTTAATCCATACCTGCTTCAAAATTGATTGAAGAAGCACCTAGCTGTTATTGAAAAAATTTATTTGATAAACCGTAGATCGTTATAACTGAAAAAGTTCTTTTTTTGTAGGCCTTTTATTGAAGGTGTTTTTAAATAAAAATGTGGTAGATGAGTGGTAAGCATGAAAGACTCTTGGTTCATAGGCACTGCAGTCATGAGTTCGATTCCACCATCACCCGTGGCTCTTTTTACCCTGCTACCCTTCCCCCAAGTACAATATGATGGAACAAATCGTAGTACTCTGGCTAATATACACATTCCTAAAGCAATAAAAAAGTACAGTTTTCACAATGCTTTGGTGATCCTTTTTCCATTTTCAAGAACTAAGTACATTTTATATCTTAAGCTTAATATAAACATTTTAAAAATAAAAGATAATTACGAGAAAAGTTGAAATCATCATGATCATGATTATGATAATGGTATTTGATCATTTTAACTATATAAGGTGGTGGTAATCTTCATTTTTGAGTTTGCAGTGCATTTATTCTGGTTATATGGATTTTGCCATAAAATAGTTGATCATATTTTGAATAAGTTTTAATTAAATTCTGAACACAGCCTAAGTGAACCGGGTTCATAATTTGAACTTTAAACCATGATTGGTGCAACTATTTACTTTATAAGAGGCATAAAAACACTATCTGTAAATTTTGTCATTTTTTAAAATTATTTTTATTGTAAATCAAATGGATTTATATTGGGCTAATCCATCCAGCCACCTAAGTTGGGCTCCAAGAGCTGTCAACATGATCATTTCAGCCCAAATGCATTCACCACACCAAACCAAACCCATTCTCTCATTCACTCTTAAATATATTCATTCCTATTTACATATCATTCACTCAGGGTTAGTGGAGTATTTGATATTCCTCCATCACCCTTTACCCCCCCCCCCCCCCGCCCTATTATATATAGCATTTTTCAGTCAAATGAAACTTTTTTCAACCAAATAAAATTTTTTTTCAATCAAATGAAACCTTTTTTCAACCAAATGAAACTTTTTTTCAATCAAATGAAACGTTTTTTTAAATCAAATGAAACCATTCTTCAAGCAAATGAAACCTTTTTTCAATCAAATGAAACCTTTTTTCAATCAAATGAAACCATTTTTCCAGCAAATGAAACCATTTTTCAAGCAAATGAAACCTTTTTTCAAGCAAATGAAACCTTTTTTCAATCAAATGACTTTTTTTCAATCAAATGACTTTTTCAAGCAAATGAAACCTTTTTTCAAGTAAATGAAACCTTTTTTCAAGCAAATGAAAACTTTTTTCAAGCAAATGAAACCTTTGTCAAGGAAATGAAACCTAAAACCTAATGATAATAATTACGTAGAGGAATAAATAAATGACATTACAGTACTAACAATAATTATTATGATGATTGAATATTAATATTTCAATAATTGAATCGTAAGGCTAAGGTACAAGAACGTTTCTTATTATTGTTAGTACTATAATGTCATTTATAGCATTTTTCAGTCAAATGAAATTTTTTTTCAACCAAATGAAATTTTTTTTCAATCAAATGACTTTTTTTCCAATCAAATGAAACCATTTTTCAAGCAAATGAAACGTTTTTTCAATCAAATGGAACCATTTTTCAAGCAAATGAAACCTTTTTTCCATAAAATGAAACCATTTTTCAAGCAAATGAAACCTTTTTTCAAGCAAATGAAACCTTTTTTCCATCAAATGAAACCTTTTTTCCATCAAATGAAACCATTTTTCAAGCAAATGAAACCTTTTTTCAAGCAAATGAAACCTTTTTTCCATCAAATGAAACCATTTTTCAAGCAAATGAAACCTTTTTTCAAACAAACGAAACCATTTTTCAAGCAAATGAAACCTTTTTTCAATCAAATGAAACCATTTTTCAAACAAATGAAACCTTTTTTTCAATCAAATGAAACTTTTTTCAAACAATTGAAACCTTTTTTCAATCAAATGACACCTTTTTTCAAACAAATGAAACCTTTTTTCAATCAAATGAAACTTTTTTTCAAGCAAATGAAACCTTTTGTCAAGCAAATGAAACCTAAAACCTAATGATAATAATTATGTTGAGGAATAAATAAATGACATTACAGTACTAACAATAATTTTTATGATGATTGAATATTAATATTACAATAATTGAATCGTAAGGCTTAGGCACAAGAACGTTTCTTGTGAAGATTCCTCAAACTTTTCTACATCCACCCTGTCAAAATTTAATTAAGTAGGATAGAAAAGTGTCTTTGAGCGAGCAACAAATTATGAATGATGGAGTGGGTGTGGAGTTCAATCCTTTTTAAAAATATAGTTCCTACAGTAAGTTGTTTCGCGACAATCCGAATTTCGAGCCCTTTAGCTCATCATCAGGTTGAAGGATTTCTACAAACAAGTCTCTTGACATGAATTGCAAAAGTGAACCCGCTCATACCCCCACCAACACGAAAATGGTTCTTCACAAGAAAAGTTCTTGTACCTAAGCCTTACGATTCAATTATTGTAATATTAATATTCAATCATAAAAATTATTGTTAGTACTATAATGTCATTTATTTATTCCTCTACATAATTATTATCATTAGGTTTTAGGTTTCATTTGCTTGAAAAAAAAGCTTTAATTTGCTTGAAAAAGGTTTCATTTGCTTGGAAAAAGGTTTCATTTGATTGAAAAAAAGTTTCATTTGGTTGAAAAGAAGTTTCATTTGGTTGAAAAAAAGTTTCATTTGGCTGAAAAATGCTATATGAACCTAAATGTGTTAAATTTTAAGGGTGATGCATTAATTTTGTCCATCACTGTATAATACACTTATAAATACTATGAAACGGATAGAAACGATTTGTTTTGTAACAAAGGTGTGAACAGGAAGTAATCAAGTATGACAAAAATTGTAATAAAGTGAAAAAAATGTATATATTGGGAATGAAAACATATTTATATGTATTACAATTTAATTGTATAAAACAGTTTCACATAATTATATAGGAATAAAGGATTTTGATTACCGTTGTCATGGGATAATAGAGAATTAGTACAAAAGAAAGCATAGAAAATATCCAAAGGTGGTATACGTTTCAATGGAAGACAACTACATTGCCATCTTGTATGTACTTAATTTACAACCATCTAGAATGGTCTTTAATTCTTTTTTTTGCCTAAAAAATACTTGAGAACGTTTTACTCTACAGAACTTTCCTAAAATACTGTAATTATTATATTACAATGTCACAACTTTGTATTATTTTATTTTAAAATAAGTTTTGATTGAAGGGATGATTGTTCGCCTTTTAAAAACAGCCTTTTGTTTCAAATTGTTGAATAACGTTTGGCATATAAAATTGATGGGATTTAATTGTGAACATCCTATTTAATATAGTAGTAATAATCTAATTTTTAAGTACATCATATTTGTTTTTCTCTAAAGGCTAAACATTTGACTCTTTTTTTTTTATACAATCAGTTATTGGGAAAATATTTAAAAAATGTATATATAAAACCTTTTGTTTTGCCTTTTTTTTCAATCATAAAATTTATATACAATACTTCTTTTTGTTCAAAACCCCCATTATTCATATTGTAAAAAAAAACCAAATTCTTAGAATTTTGTTCGTTTTCTTTTGAAATAAAAGCAGAGGAACACAGCACACATTTGAACAATTTACTGACCAGTGTTAGGCAATTTAAAAACAAAGACAATACTCACCATGGCACAACTATCGGCAAATAGCGCTCAAAAAGGAAAAACCACAGATATGCCACAAAATCGCATCAACGCGTTATGAATGTCTTTTAACCGCTCACAGTCTTACAAGTGTACAGAACAATACATTGGTTAAAACTTAAAAATTTAACTAAATATACAAACAATGCCACATTTTATGTTCAAAAATTTATGTTAGACAGAAATATACACTGACCTTCCCGTTAGCACTAATAACCTAAGTTTGCCATGTCACAATATTATTTAATTTCAATGTAAAAATGTATGTTTGACAAGTTTGATTTTACTTTGTAAAATTAAACATGAAACAAAAACTCGAATGAATTTTAAATTCATTCATTTTCGATCACAGATAATTTAAAAATGCACTTTCTCGTTTCCTCTTACAATAAATAGAATAATAATAGCAAGCCTTGAGAAGAAATAATTTTAAAATATAGTTTCATATATTCTTATCTTTCAAGGCTTTAAATACTCTTTGAATATTGTATTGTTTTAAAATTGCAATCTCATTTTTTTACAAAATTACTTTTTAATATCAAACAGTAGGGAACAGATTTATAGTTTCTATGTATTTTTTAATAGGTATAAATTGTAAAATGCTATAACATATATCTTTCATGGAATAACATAAAATTATTTTTTATATTTAAGGTTTTAAAAACATTATCTTATATTATACTGGCTACTTTTTGAAAGTACCTCAAGTTTGGGGTGTACTACCCGAGTATGGACAAACAGATTCAAAGCAATTTTAAAAATCCCATTAAAAAATGAAGCAACGGAAATATAAACAATATTTTTTTTTTCATAATATATATAAAAATCCAATTTTTTATAATAAATATATTAAAAATAAACTACAATAACAAGATCACAGAAATTTTTCTTTTTGAAAATTTTTGCTTCCTTCCGATGCCGACACGCGAACAGTACACCAAAGTAAAAAAAACTTTTTTTTGTATCTTCAACTTTTACAACAATAAAAATAATTATCAAAACATTATAAATACAGAATTTTTCAAAATATAAACATTTTGTTGTTGCTTAGAATGCAACACACTGACAACTAAAAAAAAAAACAAAAAAATAAAATTATCGTTAAAATACTATGGCAGGTTTTAAAAACCTTGCCAAGATTTACAAATAATATGTTTATCTCATATTTACAGAAAAAAGAGATAATTATTGAAATAAACAATACTTTTAACATTTGAGAATATTTTTTTTTTTGTCTGATGTGGGTATATTAAACTTTGTTATAAGTACAATATGCTGCCAGTGGCATAATATCAATTATTAAAATTTTCAAAGTAGTCTCACATATTTGATGGCTCCCCAACAAGGCACGTTTATTGATTACAATCTAAAATTTAAATATAATAATTTTAACTGAGAAAATGAAGGAGAAAATGGTGTTTTATACCTGAGTAACTCAGTGGTCTCCTCGAAGTAGCTCCATTAAAAGATTAAAGCTCGGTCCTTCTCCTTCTTTACTTTTAATCGAGAGCATTTCTTTACCAACCTAAACATTAAAAAAAGTCATAAATAAACCTAATCTTCATCTAGTAATTAAAAGAGAGAAAATTTTTACTTGGCATGTTCTTTGCAGGTCTGGTATCCTTAAAAGTAGCTCTCCAAATTTGGACGGAATGTCTGGATAGTGGGCAAGCGTATAATGCTGGAGTGCCTGAAGAGCTTTCTCTTGCGAAGCCCTGACTTTTTCAGGCTCTCTCAAATCGCTCGTATCTAAACAAAAGACGATAAATTAATTGCAAAATTTGTTAGATTATTTTGTTTTAACGCACCTGAAGATAAAAGGACAATAACTTTCATGGCAACGTATTCATATCGGTCGACTCTGAGCCTTCTCAGATGTTCGGTGAAGTTGAGCATTCGCTCGATTGGTGGGCCGAGGCCGAGGTTTTTAGCCTCAGTCAGTGAAATGCACTTTCCGAGTGAAACCCTAATTTCTCCAGGGGAGGACATCGACCGAAAACAGCAAGAGAACAGGAGGAGTTCACACCATGCATTTATGAGCAAAGACGTCTGATCATCGATCTGAAAGTAAAAACGATTTATAAAAATTGTTTACAGGCTAATTAAAATAAAAGTAAATTTACCGATATATTTTTAAAAAGTGGAAGCGACTTGCACCACTTTACAATCTTGTACAATCTGTGATCAGCGATGTTGCAAAGGTTGGCCATTAGATCTGTTGGATTTCCACTTTGTGGTCTTGGAATTCTTCCAACCAGTTTAGGATCAGCTTCATTATATTGCCATAAATGCTCTACTTCCATGATTTCCTAAAAAAAATATTATTAAGTCGTAACTCTTTCTAAATTTGAATAAATTTGTCTTTTTCACTTTGCATTCATACCTGTAATAATGGAGGAACAAGGTTGGTCTGAGGCGTGGCCTGTGGTGGAGGCTCTGCGCACTTTTGCTCCACAAGTCCCGCTGGCACTGTGTAAGAACATTGATAGGTGCTCCGGCCCCCACGGGTTCTATCTTCTCTTATTGCTGTGCAATTAAAAAAAAATAAAATAAAATAAAAAATTGATCAATCTTACTCACAATGTTGGTGATTAGTGACCGTTAGTCCATAATTATTCAGAAATCGTGAGATGCGGTATGGTGTGATGTAAGTTTCAGAAAAACATTTTCTTTATCGTGCCAACGTTTCCATCTTTATTGAGATCATCTTCAGGGCTCAAAGTGTTTTTCTTCTGCGCAAGAATGGCACACTTATGCAGAAAACAAACACTTTGAGCCCTGAAGATGATCTCAATAAAGATTGAAATGTTGGCATGATAAAGAAAATGTTTTTCTGAAACCTACATCTCACGATTTCTGAATAATTACTTACTCACAAATATAATTGGGTTAAGATTATACCTTCTAACTTCATGCCCATATTGAGGCACTTGTCAAATCTGCAAGCCGGGCATTTCTTCCTCGTCGCTATCGAGACAGGGCAGGATGACCCTCGAAGACAGACGTAATTCTTTCGATTTTGAACAGTCCTTTTAAAGAAACCTTTACAGCTTTCGCATGAGAATATCCCATAGTGGAAACCGGAGATCTTGTCCCCACAAATCGGACACGGGCTGTTAATGAGCTGTTGCCTGCTGATTCCAGGTGAGGCAAGCCCTGTGGAATGTTGGAGCAGGTCGGCAGTCATCGATGAGTATTTATCATCCAACGTACCACCTTCATCTGAAGAAAAAAAGTCTTCAATTAAAAAACTAAACAATTATTTATAATATGATATTAATCAGAATGCTGAAATTTTTTTGATTAACTGAAATGTTCATTTACGCAGTGATTGGTGTATATAGCATAATATATTGTTTTCTTCAAAACTTACCTTGCATTGAATATTCATGAACCCCTCTTGGATTTAAAACTGGAGAAGGAAATCCAGGTCTGTGCATATGTCTTCCCTGAATTGGAGAATGTGTCGGAGAAAACTGTGTTGGTGAAACGGACACAGAAGAATAACTAGAAAAAAAAATTATTTACAAAATTCACTAATTTCGTGGTCCGCTTGACCAATTAATATATTACAATTAATTAAGGTTTTTAGCTGAGATAAAAAAGTCAATGGCACGAGCGGGATTCGAACCCACGATCTTCGGCTTGATACGCTGCTGCTCTACCACTTGAGGTATCGTGACCTTGATACACTTGGACATTTGAAAAATGGCAAAAAGGAGGGAAAATTCAAAAGGTGCGGTTGAGATGGGAAGTTGGTGTCCGAGTGGATCAAGATCACAATAGCTCAAGTGGTAGAGCAGCAGCGTATCAAGCCGAAGATCGTGGGTTTGAATCCCGCTCATGCCATTGACTTGTTTATCTCAGCTAAAAACCTTAATTAATTATTTACAAAAGTTCTTACTATCTTAAATCATTTTTTAAAACCTTATTAATACCTGTGACTATAACAACTCGAGTGTTGTGATCCACCGTACTGGGACGCATCACTGTTGTTCCTTGACAAGGAAGGTGTAAAAGGGCTTGAAATGCCAGAAGACGAGGAAAGAATATGTCTTGACGTGACTGGGCTTGCAGTTGGGGAATAACAAGAGTAAACGGCTGAGTCTGGGCTAGGAGTCGGTCCTGGTCCTTTCAGTACACCACCGCTACCTGAAAATTTTTTAAAACCACATTAATCATTGTAATTTAAATTTGTCTAGTGTGAAAATTGACTAATTACTCAAAAGCTTATCTACAAGAAGGGGTAATTCAGACTGAGCATTGAATTGATTTGTCTTCGCACTCTCTGTAATTTTCTCATTCTGCAAAATAAATAGTTATTTTTATTTTTTATTTGTGTACAGAATGTAATTTAAAAAAAAAAATACAATAAAAAAATAAAAAAACAGACCTTTAATGTTATAGGCTTTTCATCTTCTATCTGAGCCATTATTTTACTGCTCTTGGGGTTGCTGCCGCTTTCTGAATTTTCAATCGGATTCTCCTCTGGCTCCTGAAACTACTACTGTTAGCTACTGATATGCATTGAATTTATCCAGGACTCACGGGTTTGATCGTAGTGACTTCCGAATCAGACAGCTCGCCCTCCCAAGACATGGGCCTTTCAATAGAGCCCCGGGATTCATCCCTGTTCTTGTTCCTCAGATTGACTGTACAAAAACAATAACTTTAGCTTTTATTACATGGTAAACCTAATAATTTGAACTTACCAGGCTCACTGGTAAAGTTGCAGACTTCAGCGTCTGCCGCGGATGAATCTTCATCGACATTCATCTGTTCTCCGCTGACCACAACAGAACACTTGCTAGAACCTGAAATGTAGGAATTTTAAAACATTTGTATTTTATAGGCATTATTTGACTGCATTTCACATAATTGTTTATTTAAAAGATTTAATTAAATGTTAGTTACCTCCATTGCACTGAGGTTGGTAATAATTTTCCTCTTTGTCTGAAAAAAAAATTTAAATTAAAATTTAAGCACATTTCCAACCCCCCAACCAAGCTTTTGTTTATTATTAACTAATTATAATATATAAAATAGACATTAATAACAATAAAAGTGTTTTTATGAGGGTTTTCAAAGTTCATACCCTACATGAAATAATTATAGATTTGAAATTTTTTTTTTTCTTACCATGGGGGCTGTGGTGAATGTTGATTGTGGTGACTGTGACTTGGCCCGATGTGACGACGCCGGTTCTTGTCGTAGGTTCTCCCCACTTGACTGAAACGCCCCCCTCCATCCCTTTTCCGCACCCTGCCCGCCACTTTGTCTAGATCCAGCGTTACCTTCTCGCCTCAACCATTACTCCTGTACAATTAATAAAAAATATATAAATTATAGTAATACACGTTTATATGCTGTTATATTATGTGTGCAATAATGTTTGAAAAAAGGATGGATTTTTAACAAATAAGGACGCCCAGAAGCATGGGCGAAGATAGCGGAGAATCTAAACCGAGAAGAAGCAGCGATAGAGGAAAGACCGTTGGAATAGTGGCAATGCTAAAGACCAATCTTGAGAAGACCCCTTGGTCTTTAATTGTCAATAAGAACCATAGCATTTGGAAGAAATTGATACATTGAACATTTATTGGGTTGAGTTGGTAGAAATTTAGAAGTTGACATGACCAGACAAAAAATTATCTACGATTATACATATTTTTGCCTTCAAGGAAACATATTCTACTTCTTAAGAAAAAATATAATTATATAAATTAAATTTCCACAAGCCTAAAAAGTAGACAAATTATTTCTGGGACATAACCATAAAATAATAATAAAATAAAAAATAAAACAAAAATATAAAACTTACTAGAGCAATTATGATAATTTCTCATAAATGGTACAATGCACTTATTAAAAAATAAATAAATAAAAAATAAAACATATCAATAAAGCCATTTATACAATTTTGTTTGCATACTACAAATAAGAAATTATATGTTTTGAAACTTAGGAGCAAGTATCTTAGAGAGTTCTTTTCTGCTATGTTCCTTACCTTAAATAGTTAAATATTTACCCTTCTTATAAATCATAGATATATGTATTAGTTTGGGTGTGTTTTATACTGCACCCTCTAAGAGCTTCTGTATACCCCATTCTGGGCTTAAAGCACATTGGTATGTCCTATTTCATCAAGAAATTTTATTAGTAGGCCCTGTTTCAGTGGCTGAATCTCTTCTATGGTTACATTATACGTCTCAAAACACTTCCTTCTATGGGCAAGTTTATTAGTAGGTTTGTTGGAGTCTCCTTTGTTTATTTGCGGAATCTGTACATGCCATGTTGGGTTATGTTAATCTTCTTCTGATGTCCATTTAGTTTACAGTATCCTGTTAGGATTCATTGTTTTTTTCCTGCTTCCTTTAATACATTCTGTTATCTCTTCTAAAGGTTGTTAGGAGGTTCTTGGATTGTTTGTGTCCAATGAGTGAGTTCCATTGTCACCTCATTTTCTTTTTATCCTTCTGTCTGAGGTGCTTATTGATAGTGTGCATTCCTATGCCACAGAAGGACTCGGGTCCTATCAGCAGTATAGCAGCCCTTATTCTTGCAAGGGCAACTGCTTTCTCGTAGCCTTCTATTCACACATGTCCTGGGACCCAGCATACACTGACTTTGTTTTGCATATCTAGCTTGTTTAGTTTGGTTTTGCAATTCAACACCGTCTTTAAGCTAATGGCGTTTGAACTTTGATTGATGGGCTGTCTGACATGGTAGCTAAATTGTGTTTTTTTCCCTTTTTTTCGGATTGAATTGGGTACATCTTTTGATTGCATAGGACCTCAGCTTGGAAGATAATGATATATTTTTCCATGGGTTCTGAATAATTTGTTTCAGGACTTCACCTACCCCTGTACCATCTTGCGTTCTAGATCCGTCTGTGTACCAGTAGATGGTGCCATTGTCAAAGGAGGTGTTTTTCTCCCTTTCCCATTTCTTTTTGGTAGGTACGTTTATTTGGAAATTTCGGTAAAACTCAAACATCCTGTACATTGTACACATTGATCAGTTAGGAAAGTTAGTGTCCAAGTGGATCAGGTCACGATAGCTCAAGTGGTAGAGCAGCGGCGTATCAAGCCAAAGATCGTGGGTTCGAATCCCACTCGTGACACTGACTTTTTTATCTCAACTAAAAATCTTTATTGCAAGAAAATAATTGGTCAAGCGGACCACGAAAACTAGTGAATTTAATTATTCAAAATGAAGTATACTTCACTAAAGCTCTCCATGGCCATTTCATTTGTCGCTGAGAATCCAATCTGATTACACGACATTTGAAAAATGACAAAAAGGAGGGCAAATTCAAAAAGGTGGGGTTGAGATGGGAAGTTGGTGTCCGAGTGGATCGAGATCACGATAGCTCAAGTGGTAGAGCAGCGGCGTATCTAGCCGAAGATTGTGGGTTCGAATCCCGCTCGTGCCATTGACTTTTTTATCTCAACTGAAAACCTTAATTAATTGTAATGTATTAATTGGTCAAGCGGACCACGAAATTAGTGAATTATGTTCTTTTATATTCTAACTTCGTCTAAGTGGCCAAGTACCACTATAATCGGATTTTTAGTTGTTTTGTTTATCACAATTATTTTCCAACTGAACTGATCACCCTCCTAAAATTTTCTCTTTCTCACTCACTCACTCTTTCTTTCTCCCTCTCTATCTATCTATCTATCCATTCATCTCTTTATCTCTCTCTACACTTTTTCTTTTCTGTCTGTTCGTCTGTCTTTCTCTCTTTATCTTTCTTTCTTTTTCTACACTCTTTCACACACACACACACACACGCACACATTCTCTCTCTCTCTCTCTCTCTCTCTCTCTCTCTCTCTCTCTCTGTCTCTCTCTCGCTTTCTTTCTTTCTTTCTTTATTTCTCTCTCTTTCTCTTTTTTCTCTCTTTCGTGCCATCGGTTCTAAGGCTGGCATTATATCTCTTTCTCACGTACACACATCACATTCAAACGCGATGATCGCGCATGTTTTATAGTTTATTTACTTTTTTAATATTTTTGGTTGTAAACAATCGATGTTATTACACGTACACGTACACACTTGGGTACCAAGATCTATTCGAGCTGGGGTGGGTTCTGCAGGGAAGCGTATTGGGGCCTTTGTTGTTGCTATACTAATTAGAGGCATAGATGGTTAATATAGATACAAAATTATTGACTGTAATAAAAAATGGCGTATTAAAGTATATTCCTAAAAGTAAATTAGCTCAGAAAATTTGAAACCGAGAATTAAATAGATTACACGACATTTGAAAAATGGCAAAAAGGATGGAAAATTCAAAAGGTGGGGTTTAGAATGGAAGTTAGTGTCCAAGTGGATCTAAGTCACGAAGGTCGTGGGTTCGAATCCCGCTCGTGACACTGACTTTTTTATCTCAACTAAAAACCTTAATTAACTGAAAGAAATTAATTGGTCAAGCGGACACGAAAACTAGGGTATTAATAATAATCTCAATGATATGACAGATGCATCTGTCTGTTTTTCACTGTTTTCTATTTTTTTAGTAAAATTTTGTTATATTTTATTTTTTAACAGTTGTGAAAAAATGATCTGATCTCATTTAGAATACTTTGAAGGTAGAATTATTTGAAATAATGAATTTTCCTCTGTATTCAATCGTTCGTTTTGTATAGGCCAGACCATCATTACTCGGCTTTCTTGCGGGCTCACATTTAAAGGGGCCGTCGTAATTAAACAATTAATTACATAAAAGCCATATTGACTTTAAAAGGGATATTTAACAGTCAATAAAGTTCTGTTATTAATAACGATCCCCATCCCACAGGTGTATACGTGTTAAGCCATTTTCCGGTCAGCTTATTAACAATCCATTTACGTAATAACCCATTTATAGAAGAAATGACGGCCCGTTTCAATTTTCACATTAATTTAATTTCTAACCAAATAGAACGGACGATTTCTTTTTAAATGAAAGTCGGACCTCTGTGGGCACTAGGATCTATTTTTATGCCTGATAGTTCTGTAAAACCCAATTATCGATGGTTTGCATAAATTTCTGTATATTTTCAAATAAATGGTGAACAACTGGCGTTGGTATTCTTAACGCTAGGCGATTAGTTGACAATTTTTATCTTTGGTTTTAAAACTGATGAAATGCAAGCGAAATAAAATGGTCTGGTTTGCTTTCGTAGCTAGGATCAGACAAAGAGAAGGCTGAATGATGATGAGATAGAGGAGAGCGAAAGGGGAGGGTTTTCAATAAAAGTGGCGTTCATTGAGTGCAATGGTCAAATTCACAACTGGTCAGACACGAACAGCATTCTACGTGGGCAGAAACAGGCCGAATATCCAAAGTCGTTTAGGCAAGTGGATCGCCAACTCCGGTCGCCGATTAAGAAACGTTAAGAGATTCCTTACGAAACAGTTATGTCGGAAGATCGGTATCTTCTGTTAATTGACCTTTCGGATGTCGGCCGATCGGGAGGGGATTTGACGGATAGCAAACATTCCTAAAGAAATAGGTGGTTCGGGAGTGTGGGAACGGCGGAGATGATTGGAGGCCGGGATGAGGAGAGAGAACCAGTTTTGAAAAAGGAAATGTCTAAGCCGGTAGTCATGTAACGGGCAGCCTTTCGTGACTCATTCCGACCGACTTCGTTGCCCCTTCCACATACATATTTAATTAGGGCCACCGGGGTGGATTTAAAAAGAAAAAAGAAGCAGAAAGCCAAAAAACAGATTCAACGGCATTTCGGATATCATGGGTTTTGCACTAATTTCCCAGTATCCAATTGACATTCTAAACTGCTCAAAAATGAATAGGGATATTGCCAATTTTATAGCATTTACTTTCCCAAGCATTTTTATTTATAAATTGCGTTAAAATTTAATTAAGGGATTTTGAACAATAACAAAATAAAAGGCTTTAATACCATAATTTTGTTTAATGGACACAATTTTTGTTTAACAATTAATACCATGCATAATCCCCTAATTCCCTCGTCAGCTAAAACCTCTGTGTAACTGTTAGGCATACTGGTAACAAGGTTGTCACTAATTTCATAAGCAATTTCACTCCATAGATGTTGCAACCCTGGACTCGGTTGTTGCAGGTCAACTGGCTGTGGATGCTGATCGAAAAACCTTTCTGCAACGCATGCCACATGTGCTCAATGGGATTGAGGTCTGGAGACAATGGGGGAAGGGGAAGATGGGAAATTCCCATGTTTTCTTAACATTGAAGGACAACTCTGCCTCTTTGAGGTCTGCCATTGTCATCCAGAAATCGAAAATCCCTGCCAATGCGGTCCCTGGTATGAGCGATGCATTCCTC